TTCACAGAGAAATCCTGTTTAAAACAAAGAAAGAAAGAAAGAAAGAAATTAAAAAATAAGTGTTCTTTTTTTTTTTTTAATTATTATCCTTGTACATCCCTACTGTGGTCTTTAGGAAATACTACAAATACATCCTAACTCGAAATTTTGAGGCCTTGAATTCACGAGGCGGTGGGAACCAAGTGTCGCTGCTCAACATCATGATGGATCTTAAGAAGTGCTGTAACCACCCATACCTCTTCCCTGTGGCTGCTATGGTAGGCACCAGAGCAGGGTGCTGATCACCTGGCTGGTTCTCTGGGAGAGTCTGTGTTGAGCAGAGGGGTTGAGCTGGGTTGCAGGGCCCAGGTTTTGACCTTGGAAGGGTAGGAATTGAAAAATGTGGGAGCTGTATTATACTTTTGGCTTCTCTAGGCACAGTAGCAGTAAGGAGTATACTCTCCCCCCCCCCCCCACTTTTCAGGAGTCTCCAAAACTCCCCAGTGGGGCTTATGAGGGTGGGGCACTGATTAAGTCATCAGGGAAGCTCATGCTGCTGCAGAAGATGCTTCGAAAGCTGAAGGAGCAAGGACACAGGGTGCTCATCTTCTCACAGGTACCCATCCCCTCTGCCCCCCCATATCTGTACATCCAGACTTTAGTTCATGTCCCATTCCTGCGGCTGCTCTAGTGTGAAGACTGAGATTCTGCTCATAAGCATGTCTTGACTCAGGCAGGCAAGGCGGCACATGCCGATAATCCCTGAAGTTGGGATGCTGAGGTTGAAGACAGTCTTAAATATAGAGAGACCCTGTATTCAAATAACAGAAAGAGGGCAAAGGGGCTAGAGGTGCTTCAGTGCTACAGCCCTTGCCTAGCTTTCATGAGGCTATGATTAGATCCCTATCACTGGAAAAACAAATAAAATAAAAGTGAAGGTCTAGGCTGGGTGTGGTGGTACACGCCTTTAATCCAGCCTGGTCCACATAACGGGTTCCAAGCCAGCCAGTCCTACATAGCGAGTCCCTGTCTTAAAAAAACAAAGCAAGGCCTGGCATGCCTGCCTCATCCCTAGGTCCAGTCCCTGTTCCTAAGCCTAGTGTGGTTGACAGCCTTGTGAATGAATGCAGGTAGGGAGTTCCAGCCCTTTAGGATCCTGATGAAAGGTACCCTCCACTTTGGAGAACGACACTACCAGTTTTATGAGATTTCCAAAGTATGTGTGGGTTTCTCAGAGACCACTTGAAGGGTCTCAGAGCACCTGTGCCATGTAAGACGTGGTCTTAAAGAAAAGTCTGAAAGAGCAGTGAGGGGGAGATGGATATGAGACGGTGGGTGTGTTTCAGTGAAAGGCTTGGGGGTTTGTTGTAGTAAAGTGTCAGTTTAGGGAACTAGGCCCAAGCTGCTGTCATGCCTTCTAGATTCCTGTTGTCTCTTGTTTTAGATGACCAAAATGTTAGACCTTCTGGAGGACTTCCTAGACTATGAAGGCTACAAGTATGAACGCATTGATGGCGGTATCACTGGCGCCCTTAGGCAGGAGGCCATTGATCGATTTAATGGTGAGAATGAAATACCTTGGTCCCTATGCCATGTCCTTGGGATGGGGATGGTGGGAGGTTGTTGGAAACTTAGACTTCTGAGTTAGGATATAGTGATTTACAGTCAGAACATGTAGCAGCCACTGATAAACTTGGCCTCCTCATTCTTACTGCCTAGCTCCTGGTGCCCAACAATTCTGCTTCCTCCTGTCCACCCGAGCTGGGGGCCTCGGCATCAACTTGGCCACTGCTGACACTGTCATCATCTTTGATTCTGATTGGAACCCCCATAATGACATCCAGGTGGGAACCTGCACCCTGAATCCCCGGTAACATTCGGCAAGTTGACATGGGTTCATGGAGGAGGTTGTCCTGCTCAGGTGTGCATCTTAAGAGAGAGGAGAAGACCTTTCCCTACCAGCCTCCTTTCCTCACCATGTGTCAGCTTCTCTATGTCACTGCCCTGGCTGACCTCCATTCTCTCTGCCCCTGAAGGCCTTCAGCAGAGCCCATCGGATTGGCCAGGCCAACAAAGTGATGATTTACCGGTTTGTGACCCGAGCATCTGTGGAAGAGCGAATCACACAGGTGGCTAAGAGAAAGATGATGCTGACACATCTGGTGGTGCGGCCTGGTCTGGGCTCCAAGGCTGGCTCCATGTCTAAGCAGGAGCTGGATGACATCCTCAAGTTTGGCACCGAGGAGCTATTCAAGGATGAAAATGAGGGTGAGAACTTTCTACAGCTCCCTAAAGGTAGTCCCTGTTCTGTCCTGAAAAATACAAAACAAAACAAAACAAAACAAAAACAAAAAAAACAAAAAAAAACAAAAAACAACTTCTTCTCTCAGCCTGTGAAGGAAAACCACCTTCTTTCTAGTAGTCCTAAGAAGGGTTGGCCATCTAAGGAAACAAAGTAAAGAAACCGACATGGACTCTGGGTAAACAGTCATTCTCTCTAGGGCCCAGTGAGGAGGAAGTGGAGCATCTCACCCGTCCTGCCTAAACTGCCTGAGCTTCTGGCTAGAGCTTCAAGTCCTTTCTGTTCCTTGTCTCCACCAGGGGAGAATAAGGAGGAAGACAGCAGTGTGATCCACTATGACAACGAAGCCATTGCTCGACTGCTGGACCGAAACCAGGATGACACCGAGGATACTGATGTGCAGAACATGAATGAATATCTCAGCTCCTTCAAGGTGGCACAGTATGTTGTGCGGGAAGAAGACAAGGTGAGAGGCTTTGGGGCCACACCCTGTCTCTCCAAAGCTATCTCTGAAGGGTAGTGCCCTTCACTAAATTTTGAAATTCTACACTCTTATTTTTGATTTATTTTCTTATCGTGGCCCCCCAGCAAAAAAGCAACAGTGGACTGCAAGCAGTTTCTCATTCTGATAGATGAGACTGGACTTTGGAGAGAGACATAGGCACAGAAAGTTCTAGTAGTCACAGAACTACTAGAGGCTGTGGGAGGAAGTAAGGGGAAGTGGAGGAGAGATTTAGAGAAGGAGCCAGTACATTGCAGGAGGAGGTGATAGGGAAAATGTGCCGTGTCCAGAAACTGCATGCCGACCTGGAGACAGGTCAGGAAGTACCCAGCAGGGTTTGCCTACATGGGGGAGAGGAATTTTAATTACAGCCAAAGGACAGCCTTCCCTCTGGTGCCTTTCAGATTGAGGAGATCGAGCGAGAGATCATCAAGCAGGAGGAGAATGTGGACCCCGACTACTGGGAGAAGCTGCTGAGGCATCACTATGAGCAGCAGCAAGAAGACCTGGCTCGAAACCTAGGCAAGGGCAAGCGGGTTCGAAAGCAGGTTAACTACAACGATGCCGCTCAGGAGGATCAAGGTGAGGACTGCCCCTAACAAGAGATGGGAAAGGAAGGAAGATGTGATGGAGAGAGCTTTGGAGGCCAAGGCTATAGAGCAGGCAAGAAGGGGAAGGGCCAAGAGGAACTTTTCTAAGGCCTCAAACAGATGGGTTTGTGGGGATTTAACTATCTAGGGACTACAGAGGGAGCCTACAGTGGAACCCACTGTTTAGAATAGCTTCGACAGCAGAGGGGTAAAGTAGGAGGTACCCAGAGACTACAGATGGTTGTGGATATATGCTAAAGGATATATGACCCAGCATCTCTAGAAGGACCAAGGCCCAGGTGGAGGTGGAGAAATGTCCAAGAGGAAAAATTCACATGGGAAGGGTCCCATTACTGCTGACCATTGGACTCCCTTTGTCCTCACAGATAACCAGTCTGAGTACTCGGTGGGGTCGGAGGAGGAGGACGAGGACTTCGACGAGCGTCCTGAAGGTGGCACTTGTCTGGACTTCCTGTCTCAGCCCTTTCATTTTCACTTTCTAGCTTTCTCTAAGCCCACTATTGTTCATTTTGTCTTTTTTTGGTCACATTTGGAACATATAGCCATGTGGTATCAGATGCTCTCGGGTCAAGAAAGGTAGTTAGGCGTGGTGATGTACACTTGCAGGCCCAGCTACTTGTCCAGGAGTTGCTTAAGTCCATGAACTGGAGGCTTGAGCAACATCTAAAAGTACAAATACATGTAAGCCAAAACTAAACAGGAAGATTATGTTAGTTTACTTTCCATGAATAACATTGTCTATCAGATATTTGTTATTAATTTTTACTTTACTTTATTTTAGTTTTAGTTTTTCAAGACAGGGTTTCTCTGTGTAACAGCTCTGGCTGTCCTGGAACTTACTTTGTAGGCCATACTGACCTGGAATTCACAGAGATCTGCCTGCCTCTGCTTCCCGAGTACGGGGATTAAAGGCATGTGCCATGGCCCTGTTATTAATTAATTTTTAAATGTGACTTCTTTTAGCTTCATTAGGTAGTGTTTCTGGCAACATGCTTGGAAGAAAATTAGAGGCCATTATGACACAGGCTAGCCGGGTTTTATATTATGGGGATGGGTACAGAGGAAGACTACGGGCTTAAAGGAGGTGATCACTCCAGTAACCAGTGTTGTCCTTACCCTTAGGGCGCCGACAGTCAAAGAGGCAGCTCCGAAATGAAAAGGACAAGCCGCTGCCTCCGTTGCTGGCTCGAGTTGGGGGGAACATTGAGGTGAGACTTTGGCCCAGGCCTCTTGCATGATCTCAAAGGAGAAAATGGAGGTGGTGGGCCTAGGGGGCACCAGCAGTAGAAAGGACTGCAGACTCCTAATCATTTCATGGCCCTGCCTCTTTCCCCACCTTCAGGTACTGGGCTTTAATACCCGACAGCGGAAGGCCTTCCTTAACGCTGTGATGCGCTGGGGGATGCCTCCGCAGGATGCTTTCACTACACAGTGGCTAGTGCGCGACCTGAGGGGCAAGACTGAGAAAGAGTTCAAGTGAGTGAGGGTGATTCTGGGACGAATTGAATAGGAGCTCAGAGCTTTGCGGACTACTTTCTTCCTCTTGGCTACCATATGATGTGACCTTACTCAGCTGATCACCACCTCCCTACCTTACCACACGTCCAGGCTCGGTTTCCTGGGATGTGGGCTCAGCCTACCCCACTTCCCCTCAGCAGAGCCTAGAATAAAGGGGCCATGTCTCCTCCCTCATGGGAGGGGTGTTTGAGGAAGGAGCCTCTCCCAGGCTAGCTTGGCCTTACATCACTTGGCCATGATAACTTGGCAGGAGGAGCTGGTGAACAGGATGAAAAACTGACTGATGGGGCCAGGGACAAAGTGTCAAGTCCCAGGAGATATAGGGGGGAACTGATGGGGAGTCAGTGGGTGAGTTAGGATGTGGAGGGCTGACGGGGAAGGTCAGTGGGTGAGTTAGGATGTGGAGGGCTGACGGGGAAGGTCAGTGGGTGAGTTAGGATGTGGTGGGCTGACGGGGAAGGTCAGTGGGTGAGTTAGGATGTGGAGGGCTGACGGGGAAGGTCAGTGGGTGAGTTAGGATGTGGAGGGCTGACGGGGAGTCAGTGAGTGAGTTAGGATGTGGAGGGCTGATGGGGAGTCAGTGAGTGAGTTAGGATGTGGAGGGCTGACGGGGAAGGTCAGTGGGTGAGTTAGGATGTGGAGGGCTGATGCAAGTGAGTCTTGGAAGTACCTAGGGAGTTGAAGTTCAGGAAGTCAGTGATCTCTGCATCTCCCTTGTTGCTTGAACCCCTCCCCACCAAGACCTTGCAATCCTCCTTCTACCCATGCTCTTCAGGGCCTATGTGTCTTTGTTCATGCGCCATCTGTGTGAACCTGGGGCAGACGGCTCTGAAACCTTTGCCGATGGGGTCCCTCGGGAGGGGCTGAGTCGCCAGCAGGTGTTAACCCGCATTGGAGTCATGTCTCTCGTCAAGAAGAAGGTATTAGTCTCCCCTCACTCAAGCATTTGGCCAGCTGCTTGGGGTCTGTCCTTCCTCTGTCTTTGATCTCTTAGTTCTAGTTCTGGCTGATGTGAGAGGAGACTAGGGCTTCCTATGCCCCCAGTGCCGGGAACTGACCCTTGTCCCTCAAACCTCCTTCCCCAGGTGCAAGAATTTGAGCATATCAATGGACGCTGGTCAATGCCTGAGCTGATGCCTGACCCCAGCGCTGACTCCAAACGCTCTTCCAGGGCTTCCTCTCCAGCCAAAACATCCCCCACCACTCCTGAGGCTTCTGCAGCCAACAGTCCTTGCACCTCTAAACCTGGTAACTGGAGTCAGGACGGTGGGAGAACATGGGCAGTCAGATGTTGGGGTAGAAAACTTCTGCTCTCCCACCCCACCCCCTGGCAAATTAGGCTGTTTGTGTGATTATAATGAGAGACATGAAGTTGGTCAACTTTATATAGGAAATAGGTTTATTTGGGCTCATGGTTTTGGAGGTTCGAGGTCAACAGCTACATCTGGTGATGACCTTCTTGCTTGCAGAACCCTGAGGTCACCCAGGATGTCACAAGGTGAAGTGCAGAGCATGCGTGCATATTCTTCTCCCTCCCTCTTAAGAGCCACCAGGATTCAGTTGGAGGGGACTTCACCCCTGACCTTATCTAATTCTATTTCCTCCAAACCCCACTGTAAATACTGTACTTACTTTCTACCATTTTCTTACCTCACACTGGGCACTAAATGTCAGCACAGGAACCTTTGGAGAACACGTAAGCCTTATCCAAACCATGGCACTCTGCCTTCACCCACAGCTACTCCCGCTCCAAGTGAGAAAGGAGAGGGCATAAGGACACCTCTCGAGAAGGATGACACTGAGAACCCGGAAGAAAAGCCAGAGAAGAACAGCAAAATGGGGGAAAAGATGGAGACAGAGGTGTGTGGGCCCCCGGATCTCTCTGAGGAGATGGAGTGGAAGGTCTGGAGGGTCTTGGTGACTCAGTACCTCGGAACTCTTTAGCTCATCTTGCCTCTACTGTCCTTCACCAGGTTGACTCTCCCAGCCCAGCCCCATCACTTGGAGAACGACTGGAACCACGGAAGATTCTGTTAGAGGATGAGGCACCAGGGGCGCCTGGAGAGGTGGAGCCTGAACCTGGGTACCGAGGAGACAGAGAGAAGTCCGGTGGGTGATTATCCTAGAGCTGATGAGGTTTGGATTCTGGAGTTGGAATGAGTAACATCCTCCCTTCCTGTGTCCTCACTCTATCCACAGCCTCAGAGCCAACACCAGGAGAAAGGGGGGAGGAGAAACCGCTGGATGTACAGGAACACAGGGACAGACCAGAGGGGGAAACAGGGGATTTGGGCAAGAGAGGTAATGGGTGGAAGGACTGGACACCTGAATCCCTGAGGGAACCCAGGGCGGTGGAATCTGGGGGAGCCAAGTGCCCGGGTCTTGGGTGGGCATGCATTAAGTAGTCCTGGGACTTAGGAGGTTGCCCTGAGGTGTGAGCTTTGCCCTGTCTGGCCTAGCAGAGGGTGTAAAAGCAGAGCGGGAGCTTCGACTTGGGCCTCCTCGAGATGAACCACGGTCCAATGGGCGCCGTGAGGAGAAGGTGGAGAAGCCGAGGTTCATGTTCAATATTGCCGATGGTGGTTTCACAGGTGCGAGCTGTCGTCTGTTACCTGCTTCTCACTGACCATTCTGGGCTTTCTCATTGTGCCCAAGGCCACCTGCTGCATTTCATTCCAGTGAGATGGTGCATGCTGACAATGAGCCTTCACACTCTAATACATTTTTTTGGTCTTAATCCTAATGTGAGCCTATTCACGATTAACTTTTTCCCCTTACCTCCTAACATAACGATTTCTGATTTTTTTCATGGAGTTTTTTTTAAGATTTATTTTTCATTTTATGTATACAAGTGCTCTATTGATTTTATGCCAGATGAGGGCATCAAATCTCATTATAGATAGTTGAGCCACCATGTTGTTGCTGGGAATTGTACTTAGGCACCTCTCGGATAGCAGCCAGTGCTCTTAACTGCTGAACCATCTCTCCAGCCCCACATGTTTCCGTTAATTTAATTTTTTTATATTTATTTTATGTCTGAGTGTTTGCCTGCATGTATATATGTGTACCACATGTATGTAGTACCCTCAGAGGTCAGAAGAGGGAGCTGGATCCCCTGTAACTGGAGTTAAAGATACTTGTGAGTTACCATGTGGGTGCTGGGACCTGAATTCTGGTCCTCTATGTGAGCAACAAGTACTCTTAATCACTGAGCTACTTATCTCGCCCTACTCACAGTTCTTAAGGGGCCTTTAGTCCTCTGCCATCACTCAGTTTTCCATCTGTACATGACTGTTGGGATGCATTCGGTCACAAACCTCTGATGCTTCTGCTCATCTCTTCACAGAGCTGCACACGCTGTGGCAGAATGAAGAAAGGGCAGCTATTTCCTCGGGGAAACTCAATGAGATCTGGCACCGAAGACATGACTATTGGCTTCTCGCTGGGATCGTCCTGTATCCTTTGTATATATGGAACATTAAGGAACCTTTCGGCTAGGAAAGAAGGTGTCCCAGTCATGTTTCTGTTGCTGTGATAAACACCATAACCAAAAGCAACTCGAGGAGGAAAGTTTATTTCATCTTACAGCTTGTAATGCATCTTCCAGGGAAGTCAGGGAAGGAACCTGGAGGCAGGAACTGATACAGAGACCATGGAGGAGTGATGACTAGCTTGATCTTTGTGGCTTGGGTTTGCTTAGCCTAATTTCTTATAGCAACTAGAAGCACCAGCCCAGAGGTGGCACCACCCACAAAAGGCAGAGTCCTCCCACATCCATCATTAGTTAAGAAAATGCTCTGTAGGCTTGCTAACAGCACAGCCTTATTTAGGCATTTCCTCAATTGAGGTTCCACTTCCTAGATAACCCTAACATGTATCAGGTTGGGAAAAACTAGCCAGGACAGAGGGGAACCACAAGTCAAAGAAGGATCCACACTTAGGGCAGGGAGGCTTGTGCCATGTTCTGGGGAGATCTGGCCAATAAGAAGAAATTTTCAGTCAAGTCCATTCAGTTAAATTCCTTGATAGTTCCCTTTCCTCCACTGGCAGTCATGGCTATGCCCGGTGGCAAGACATCCAGAACGATGCTCAGTTTGCCATTATCAATGAACCATTTAAAACTGAAGCCAATAAGGGGAACTTCCTGGAGATGAAAAATAAATTCCTGGCCCGGAGGTTCAAGGTGGGGATGAGAAAGGAAAGAAGTGGGGTGAAGCAGGCCTTGGGTCAGAAGTTGTCTAGAGGGAGTGCCAACTTCTTGAGAGCTGTGGCTAAGACCTCCGGTCTGCTTCGGAGTTGATGTAGGGGTCACATACTGAGGAGCTGGAGGTTCCTGGGCCATGAGTGGGACAGAGTAGCTCCTTAGTGCTATGTCCTGTCGCTCTGCTCACCTGTGTGTTCACCTCTGTCCTGTGCCCTTAGCTCCTGGAGCAGGCGCTGGTGATCGAAGAGCAGCTGCGGCGGGCGGCCTACCTGAACCTGTCACAGGAGCCGGCGCACCCCGCCATGGCCCTCCACGCCCGCTTTGCCGAGGCTGAGTGCCTAGCCGAGAGCCACCAGCACCTCTCCAAGGAGTCGCTGGCAGGGAACAAGCCAGCCAACGCCGTCCTGCACAAGGGTAAGGGCCGCGGTGGCCCCGCGCGGGGGAGGGCCCACAACGCTGCGTAAGTCTTCACCCCGCACCCTTCAAAATATTCCCACACCCCTCGCCCCCTTACCCCTCTACCCTCTGAACCACTCCCCTCTGACCTCTAACCCTACCTCTGACCCAGCTGGCACCCCAAGCCCATTCTCCTCCCTACTCGACAGGGTTCACATCAGTGACCAGTAGGGTACCAGCCACCTCATTCTGTGGGCCCTCATCCCTGGGAGTGTAACCACATGGTTGTATCTGTCACGATCCTGATAGTTTTAGTTTGTGTGTGTGCATCACGAATGTCCTTAGCTTTGATCCCACAGATCACTTTCTTAGTACCTCATTCACCCTACGAAGTGAAAATTCCTGCCCACCCACCCTTGACCGTACCCAATAAAACTTTCTTTTGACCCTCAACCCCTTCTTCCACATCCTTCTACCTTGATAATTATAGGTTAAGTTCCAGAGTCATCTAACAGAACCTGGTGTAATGACTGACTCCTGCCTGCCTTAGGTCTTTTTATGTAATGCTGACCCTTTAACCCCCACCCCATTATGTATTAAAACTGATTCCTTAAGTCACACTACCCCAATGCCACCTATTTCTTCCCCACCATCCCCAACCCCTAAGCCTCCCTTTTCCAGTATGGGATGTTCTGACAACCCCAACCCCATGTCTTCCAATGTCTTCCCCTACCTTTTTCCCATATTCTTTTTCTTCTTTATTTCCATCTGTCCTATGTGGTATCTGGCCTGATACTTCCTTCCTCTGAACCATTCTTTTCCTGTCTACTGTCTATCATTTTTGTCACTTGGTCCATGGTTCTTTGATGTCTGTGTCCTCTCTTTTCTGTCCTTGTCCATCTGACTGTCACTTTTTCTGGCTCTATCTCTCTCTCCATCTTTCTCTCGCCCTCCTTTCTCTGTGGCCCGGGCCCCAGTTCTGAACCAGCTGGAGGAGTTGCTGAGCGACATGAAGGCAGATGTGACCCGCCTGCCAGCCACGCTGTCCCGAATACCCCCCATCGCAGCCCGCCTTCAGATGTCCGAGCGCAGCATCCTCAGCCGGCTGGCCAGCAAGGGCACAGAGCCTCACCCCACACCGGTAACCCTCTTCCCCCTATTTGCTTTCCTATCAGTGCCCCCTCCACACACACACACACACACACACACTCTCTCTCTCTCTCCATCAGAACCCTATAAATAATGGAGAAATAGCCTGCTACAACAGTCTTCACCTTGAGTCCCCTGCCTGACCACAACTCTAGTAAATCTGGAGCATGATTCCTCTCTGGCTGTGGACTAACTAACCTCAGCTTGCTCTCTATTCCAGGCCTTTCCCCCGGGTCCGTACGCCACACCACCGGGGTACGGGGCAGCCTTCAGCGCCGCACCCGTAGGGGCCCTGGCCGCCGCAGGCGCCAATTACAGCCAGATGCCTGCAGGGTCCTTCATCACAGGTCAGATGGTGGTTCTGACTCCTGTTTCTCCCTCACTTTTGCCAAACTTCATCCCTGCTTGACTCTCTTGCCCAGTTCTCTTCCTTGTAAGTGTCCACTGTTTGAAGGGAGAGTTGCTCTGGACTTGTTGTACCCATTCTTTTGTGTCCCTTCTATCGCTGTTACAAAACCGGCAGTCAGGGGGCTGAGGCAGGATTCCTGAGTCTTCAGGCCAGCCTGGGCTGTGGGAGATGCTATCACATATACAGGTGTGCAGGCACACACATTTAATCCCAGCACTTGGGGGGCACTGAGTTCGAGTTCCAGGACAGTGAGAGGACTATGTAGAGAGACCGTTTCTCAAGAAAACAAGAAAGCCAAAGCTGCACTCATCATGTGACTTCATATTTCACACTTGAGCTTCCTCTCCCGATTTCCTCAAGAAGTGAATGTGAATTCACAAAGGCTAGAGAGTCAGACCCTGTCATATCGTGGCACAAGGGGAGTCTGAGGAGGAGTTCAGAGTGACAGGGAATGACATGGCAGCTGGGACAGGCTGTCATCAGTGAGTGATATTTGGGGTTTAGGGACTGACCTTTCCTTACTTGTCTCCCCAAACAGCCACCACCAACGGCCCTCCAGTGCTGGTGAAGAAAGAGAAGGAAATGATGGGGGCGTTGGTGTCAGACGGGCTGGATCGGAAGGAGCCCCGAGCAGGGGAGGTGATTTGTATAGACGACTGACTGGATCTCAGGCCTGCCCTTCACCTAGGCCCCGACCCCGGAGCCGACCCACATCTCAGGCCTTGGGGCCTGCTGCCAACCCTCCACCTTCCCCACCCCTTGGGCCACCACTGGGCTAGGAGCCCTTTTGCCCCTCTATAACGTCTCCCTTCAAGAAGGACCCCATCTCTCTGCCTCCACACACCTTTCCCACCAAACCTTGAAGACTGTGCCGGTGTGAAGAGGTGTGGGGGGGAGATGGTTAGCAGGGTCTTCTGAGAGCCCTTACTCCCCACCACCAAATACACAGCTTCCCACTAAATGATTGTCGGGGGAGGTGAAGCCTCCCAGTCCTTTCCTGCAGCATCACCTCCACCTCCTGCAAAAGTGGGTTACCCTGGCCTGGCCTTTAGGAGCTTTCATAAGGGGAAGAGCAACAAAGAGCAGGGGGCTGCGTCACCGGGGATGAAAGAAGGGGAGGGGAGGGGTGGCGGGGTGTCACCTTCCCTGCCTCTTTCAGATGGAGGGTACAGCAGCTATGAGAGAGGGAGTTGAATGCTGTTCCGCCTCAGAATAAAGGCGCTGTTCAGTGGCTCAGTTACCTCCTGTGTACCAGCATTTTGCATTAGGAACCTTTCTCCTCGCTAGGGACCAAGGACCACCCCTACAAAGAGTAACAGTTGGGTGATACTCCCTCAAGCCAAAGAGGAGCTCCCCAACCTGTTCTAGGAAAACTAGAAAGGGAGGGAGAGAATACAGAGGGCCAGACATGGGGGCCGATCTCCACTCTGGGGCTCAGGTTTCTGGGGGACTTAAATCCTCCCTCCTCAAGGCCTGGATACAGACTAAATTTGAGTAGGTCAGGCCAGGGGCCTAGTAAGGAGACTACCTTGCCTGTGGGACCAGAGCAACACAGTGGATAACAGGCTAGGGAGATATGGGCACACCCCTCTACAGAGGGGCTAGGGGTGGCAGTTTGCATGGGGAACCCCACTGCCTCCTTGCTGCCCTTTCCCAGTCTCTGCTCCCACTCCTGGTCTGTCCCAACCCCCTCTTCTGTATCAGGTTATCGGCTGTACATATAAATTATACTTTCCTTTCTGTCTGCTGTCATTTGTTCCCGGGGAGAGGGAATTCTTGTGTGGAGGTAAAGTAAGGAAAATTATTGCTTTGTACTAGTTTATCTTAGTAAACTTCCCCCACCCCCCCCCCCCCACACACACTTTTTTTTTTTTCTTTTTAGTTTTTGAGACAGGGTTTCTCTATGTAGCCCTGGCTGTCCTGGAACTTCCTTTGTAGCCAAGGCTGGTCTTGATCTCTTGAACCATTAAAAAATCAAAGGAAGCCCCTTACCATCCCCTGCAGATTCCCTCTAGAATGTAGCTCTGGCTGTCATGGAATTCATTTTGTTGACCAGGCTGGCCTGGAATTTAGAGAGATCCACCTTCCTCTGCCTTCCAAGTGCTGGAATTAAGGGTGTGCACCATCAACACCTCCATTCACGAATCAAAGTAAGACCTTTTCCCAATACCAATCACATCATGAGCTCAATGTAGAGTTGGTGAGCAGCAGGATCCCTGAGGCCATGACGGTAAGTGGCAAGCAGAGGGAGCAGGCTCCCTGACCTGAGGGAGAAGTGTAACACTGAAAACTGCTTTCCCCAAGAGTCAGTAGAGGTCACTACAGCTCCACAGGTTCACTTCCTCTATGGAGCAGAAGGTGTTTTTATTTAAATCTTGTTTGCTTTTGTTTTAAAGAAGTAGGGTTAGTCTGGTGGCACTTGTGTCATTTAAAGTGCTGGACAATACTCTGTATTCAATAACAGCCTTTCACAGGTTGAGTGAGCCAGATACTTTATTCTTACGGCTTTTACATTAAAAATAGATACATTCAGCAAACATTTCTGGAGTACATATTATACATTAATACTGCTATTGGCTCTGGAGATGGTTATTTGGAGTTCACTCTATGGAAACACTCAAAACATTAGAAAATAAATGTAGCATTCACTTTGACAGCACATATACAGAAATATGACAATAAGGCACATTACATGCTAGCCTCCAAAAGGGAACATTTAAGCTGAAATTAAGGACAGGAAAATGGCAAAACATTTTTTAAAAGGAGGCTTACACTCTATAACTAGACACATTGTTATTTGTCAATAAGTTCTTAAAGACCTCTGAAAACTGAGGTCTATTGTAAATTCACATTTTTAACTCAGAAAAAAAAAAGTTTTCTTCCACAATAGAATGTCACTTTAGAACTTTGAAGTAGGGTGTCATTAGTGTTTTAATTGTTCCACCCACAGATGATGATGATGACATCCCAGAGTGACTAAGAGCTGAACCATTGCTTTTTAACTTACACATGGATCGCCTGGGATTCTGAACACGTAGTCAGGGAATGTGGACTGGGGTCCTGAAATTCTGCACTTATAGCAAGCTGTGAGACCAACTCTGTTGGTCTTGTTAAGTCTATAGTAAGATATTTACAGGACTTTAAAACAGAACTAGTCACATATAATAAGCAATGTCCCATTATGGGACACAAACTTAAAATTATGTGAACATCTTTTTTTTTTCTTTCAGTATTGTTACACTCTGTAAAGATAACAGATAAAGGTTAAATTTTTATTCCTTTATCAAATGGCTCACCCATCCCTGATGAGCCTTACTTAAGGCCTCATAGAAACGCCCCTTGGACATTTTCATACCTGCCTTATCATGCTGAAGGAAACTATACATAATCAGGGAGGCAACTCAGTAATTTCTGGAACAAGGAGCCAAGGAGTGGGACGATGGCACGCCAGCATACGCACATAACCAGATAAGTGAGACTGACATAATTAGCTTATCCCTGCCTTTTTTTTTTTTTTTAAGTAAACATTTCCAACCACTGGCCACTGCTAAAATGGGATCTGTTGCTTAAACCGTAGCCTCCCTGAATAAATGCCAAAGCTATAGCTTTGTATGTTTTATTCCCACACTATGGTATGATTTGTTGGCCACTTCCACCCAAAACACAATTTAAGCTGGCATAGTCCAGGAGCCTCCGCTGCTCAAAGTTCACACCACCTAGGGTACTTTCTGTTCAACTCCATCACGAACGTACCAATTCCAGCATCAGTGGGGGTAGTCTTGACATCAACCCCTTTTCAGAGCACGCCCGAAGATGTGGCTCCCACCTGCCTGCTGCCACAGCTCCCAGGTTCTTCGGTTACAGCGTGCAATGGGTCATGTGCGCAATGTCCTTGACCTCTGGACAGTAGAGCACTGGAGGAAATAAGAAGGGTTAGTGGCAACAGGAAGATGCAACCTGACCCAGCATTTTTCGGCGCTCTGTGCCCAGCATTCTCCCTAGGCGGCCCCTCACCATTGCTAGGCAACGGACGCCGCAAGCGGCGCACCGGCGCCAGGACCCTGTCCACGATTCTGCGAAGCGCGCGCCAACCCGCACTTGTAGGTCCCGCCCCCTTCTCGCTCCCGTCTTCCCCGTCGTCGTCCTCTCCGTTGTCTGCGCTTTCCTTGGCCGGGCTCCCCATCGGGTCTCGTTCACGCTCAGCCCGCGCTTTTTCCTCCAACCGTGACCACAAGTCGGGGTCTAGCGCGATCTCCGAGACGCCGCCGCGCGGGAGCGGGGAAGGCGCGCGGCAGAACGGGCACGTGACAGCGCGGCGCAGGCGCACCACGCGCGCGGCCGTGCGGCTGCCGTCTCCCCGCGCCGCCAGCTCGCGCAGGCAAGCGGTGCACAGTGTGTGGCCGCAGCGGGCGCGCGCCGTGCCGGGCAGGCGGCGGGGCGCGCGGGCCGCAAGGTTGAAGGGTCGGTAGCAGATGTTGCAGTCCAGCTCACCCCGCTCGGGAAGAGAAGGCACCCTCATCAGGAGCTGCATCGTGACCGCTGTGACCCGAGGACGTCGACCCCGCGGCGTCTAGGAGACACAAGTGGCCCTCCTTGGGCCGAGGCTGGGGCCTGGGGCCGGCGCCGCCGCCTCTGTTCCCTTTTAATAGTGAGGCCCCACCCTCGAGGCGTCACACACCAGATCGGCCGCTCCCTTCCAAGGCACGCGTTGGGGCGGTAGAGGCGCGAGGCTGGGAATGCGAATGGGGGCACAGCGGGGTGAATGCCCACACGATGGCTGAACTGCCCGAGGGACACGCACCACCCACTGCCCCCTTGACGAACTTCTCATCCCCAGCAAAACACCAGTGCTGTCATTTAAACTTGGAACAGATCCCCAGGTCCCCTCTTGCACGCACACTGGCCCAAGTCTTAAGAGCCCTCTTAGTCTATTTGTCACATGCTCATACTCTTTCTCAACTCCCCCCCCCCGCGCCCCCAAAACAGGCTTCATGCACCAGGTTTACTGTTGGTTCTGCCCAATTTTATTGGGTTCCTGGATGTTTGGGTTCTGCCCAGCCATAATTGATTCTGCTGTCATCTCTCTTTGTTTATACATGATCGCTTGGGTTCTCGGAAGGCTCCCTAAATTTCATCCTTCCCCAAATAATTCAATTCCAGCTGACATCTCAGCCTAAGGAGCATGGGCTTAGGAATGCTGGGAATCTTTTCCTTCCAGAGTATCCAGGCTTGGACACCTACACAGTATGATGGTTGAAACGAAGCAGCTCTGCATGACTTCTGACTCAGGGGTCTGACTTCTGGCACAGGTAAACAGGACGTGGTACTCACAACCCACATTCCCTCATGGTATAGTGCCCACACCCAAGCTGCCTCCTTCCTCATCTTGTCCTGTACTAGTAGTCCAGGTTCTGTTGCGGGGGATAATAACACAGTCTTGACACAGGTGGCTCCAGTACAAACCCTAGTTGTGACACCACAGGCAAGTTACTTAATTTCTCTGGGCCTTGATTTCCTCATCTTCAAAATGTGGGTAATAATAGTAAGGATTGAAAGAGCTTGTGTTTGTTAGGTATATTAAATGACGCCCAGGACACAGTAAACACCAGATAAGCAATACTTATTATTATCCTTATCATCCTTGGCTTCAAGCCTGCATTAGTTTCTTGGGGACCCAGCATTTGACATAAACCATCCCTTGGTTAATCCAAGATGGGTCTCACTATGTAGCCCTGGCTGGTCTGGAACTCTGTGTGTAGTTCCAGATGGCTTCAAATTTACAGAGATCTGCTTGCCTATGCCCTCAGAGTGCTAGGATTAAAAATGTGCACCACCATGCCCAGCCTAACTCATTACCTTGTTTAAGACAGGCTTTCAAAGGTTTGTATGCCAGGAGTGCTGGCCCACAAGCTTCTGGGATTCTGAGGATTCTCCTGTATCCACTTCCCATTCATTGTAGGAGAAATGTGATTATATACACTCACCTCATATGCCCAGCTTATGGGAAGTCTGTGGATTCAAACTTAGGTTCTGATGCTTGTGTTCAAGCACCTTAGCCAGTGAGTAATACCCCCAAACCAAATCTTAATCATTGAAAGTAGAATAAAATGAGTCCAAAGTGTTTCACCCTCTAAGCCACTGATTTAAATTATCCTGCCACCTGCTCCACAGCCTTTATCACCAAGAACCCAAACTGATGATCTCCCTTTTCCAAACCAGACTTTCTTCCAGTTTTTCCTTCCCTCCCTCTTCTACCTTAACCCTTCATCTCCAAGCCCAGGCCGTTTTGTTCCTTTAGTAGCCACTCCACCTACTCAAGTCCACCTCTCGTTCACCCTCCTGGTCCAAGCTGTCACCATCTCTCATCTCCCTATGCAGTTAATTCACAAATCCACTGGTCTACAGACCCTTCCCTCTCCATGTTATTTCCAAAGAACTCTCCCAATCTCAAACCAATCCCATTCTAGCACTGTTTCTACTCCGGTTTAAAATCTTTTTTTTTTTATTTGTTTGTTTGTGTTTTCTGAGACAGGGTTTGTCTAGCTTTGGAGTCTGTCCTGGAGCTCCCTCCGTAGCCCAGGCTGACCTTGAACTCACAGAGATCCTCCTGCCTCTGCTGGGATTAAAGGTGTGATCCACCACCACCCAGCTCTGTTTAAAATGTAGTGAGTGTTGAATGGCTCCCATATCCTTTGCCACTGCAGCATCAGTCAGGGCCTAGACGAGGCTGACACAGAATGATTGTGAGTGTGAGGACAATCTGGACTACATAGTGAGTCTGTTTCCAAATAAAAGATCTACTTCCCTATCTCTGCAATGGAGGATGGCCTTGTGACCAGCTGTGTGTGTGTGTGTGTGTGTGTGTGTGTGTGTGTGTTCTGGAGCCTAATCTTCCACAGCATTGCACCTTCTGTCTGCTGGAAGGTTGCTCTCGAACCACCATAGAGGGAAGGAGGGTTAGACCTAAGCACTGGAGTTGAGGACTTATGGGGGAAGTGCCCACACCCCAGGCTAGTGCTGATTGCCTAACATGCTAGTGAAGCCATTTGGGATATTCCTGCTCATTAACCCGCTTAGTGAATACACACACATGGAGGAGGCCAAGGGAAACAGCAGTGGGACCCCACAGAATCATGGAAAATGTGTAGGTTATGCATTTGTTTTCATTTTTAATTCATTCTCTCTCTCGTGTGTGTGTGTGTGTGTGTGTGTGTGTGTGTGTGTGTGTGTGTACATGTTAGTGCAGGTGCTTCCTGAGACAAGAGAGTGTCAGATGCTACCCGGGGCCGGACTTAGGGGGTGTGAAGACCGTGGGTCCTCTGCAAGGGCAGTGTGCATCTTCACCGTTCAGTCATCTCTTCAGCCGTCCTCCCTCCCTCCTCAATTTCCTTTTTTAAGACTTGTTTCAGGTCACTAGATTTTGGGATGATTTCTGTATTTATCAACAGGTAACTAAAATAGATGCTACCCTGTTGTTATCTGGATGATTAAGATAATACTCTGAGATGCCCAGAGGGCCTTGTGTGTCATGACCTCAGTGTCCCTCGCATCTTACTTCTGTTTGCTCCTGGGACACTCCATCTTTGGAGGCCTATGGATTCTACTGTGGTTTGGATCTTAAATGTCCTCCAAAGTCATGTGGTGAAGGCCTGGTACCCAGGTGATGGTACTTTGGAGAGGGGATGGAACTGTTAGAATTTGGGTTATGGGGGTGTCATTGAAAGGGCTGTTGAGAACTCGGCCCCTTCCTCTCTGCTTCCCAGCTGCTGTTAAGTGAGCAGTTTACTCCACTATGATAGCCTGCCACAGGCTCAAAAGCAAATGGGCCAAGCAACCATATGCTGAAACTTAAGCTGGAGTAGGCCTTCCCTTTTTATTGGTTTACCTCAGGTATTTTGTCTCAGCAACAGAAAGCTGATAGACACAGTGTTCATGGTCCCTTCAGCTCCTAGGCCTTTGCAGCCACCACTGCCCTCACACTCTTGCTTTTACATTCACACCCACTGCATCTGCTCTCAGGGCAGCCTCACGCGTCAAACACCCAGTCTAGATGTTGTTAAGACCATGTGCTCCCCTCTGGACACTGGGCAACAGAAGTTTGCACTACAACAGTGACCATGTGATTGTCTCTTCAGCAGCAAACAACATGGAGGTAGTTCCAGATCCTTATGCCATGCCACAGGACTCAATGTGCAAAATAGTCATTGAACTTTTGAATAAGGTGGGTGAGAAGTGATGGCAAATGTTTATATACAAAGGGCATGAGACAATAAAGGGACTTCTAAACCGCCTTGAGGCAATTCTAAGAGGAGGTCTTAAAATATGTTGAACAGAAAAAAGGAAAATAAGAAAGTGTTGAGCATTGGGGGAGGCAGCGTTTGGAGAGGAGAACTATTTAAGGACAATACTATTTTGAATTGATAAATCCTTGTATGTTTGTCACAGAACAACTAACCACAGCTTAGTCATACATTTCCCTTCTTTGATCCCTCCACAGTCTTGCAGAATGAGTGGGAGACTAAAGGGGCGAATGTAAGTACTCATTAGTTGATCCTGATGGTTGCTAATCCAGTCAGTAAGTGGCAGGCAGCTCAGTCTCTTTTGGAAATTAGTTTTACTCTGTACTCCCAGCTTTAGGACTGAGGCAGGATGAGCAGGGAAGAAAGGAGTCACTGAGGTTATATTTAAGGGCTGCAGAAGTCATCTCCTTTGCTTTGTGGTCACTGCAGGTTGTGACTTTCCACCTACTTCCTTTCCTCCAAGAAATCAGAACGCATAGAGGAAGAAAATGGCGGTGGCACCTGCAGAGCCCACTGGATTCTGTTTTTCTGCTGCCTTCCTGTCGTACCTTTCACTGCTTTTCCTTGCAAGTTATGGCTCGTCCCTCTCGATCACTTTATCACATCACAAAACCACAACCCTCTGTGACCTTTCTTTCCCAGCCGGCCACAACAAAATGCTTTCATTTCTGGGCACCTGAAGGTACAAGCGGGCAAAGGGCCCTGCAAGACAAGAAGTGTGGCAGATAGAACTCTAAAAACGTGTGTGTGCGTGAGTGTGTGTGGTTAAGAGCACCAGCTGCTTTTACAAAGGACACAGATTTGGTTCCCAGCAACTCCATGGTGCTTCAGTCATCTATAACTCAAGTTCTGTGTCCTTTCAGGCACAGGCACAGGCACACATGTGGTGTACAGATACATAAGAAAGTAAAATGCTCATATACATAAAACCTTTTTAAAAACGGGTGGGTGGTAGAGAGGTGGCTGCTCTTGCAGAGGACCTGTGTTCAATTCCCAGAACTCACAGAGCAGCTTGCAACTTTTGTAACCCCAGTCTCTGGGGGAATCCAACACTCTCTTCAGGCCTCCTCTGTGGCCATTAGGATGTAAGTGGTGCATAACTATACACACAGGCGAAACACCCATATACATAAATAAAAATCAGTGTGGGCAGGCTAACAAAATGGCTATACAGGTAAAGGTGATTGCTGCCAACAATGACAACTGGAGTTTGATCCCAAGAACCCACATAGTAGAAGGAGAGAACCAAAAGCTTCCTCTGATCTCCTCAAGAGTACCAGGGCATGTGTATCCACACACATAAACAAACTGAATAAAACCTAAAAATGCAAGCTGGGTAGTGGTGATACACACCTTTAATTCCAGCACTCGGGAGGGGAGGCAGAAGTAGGTGGATCTCTGTGAGTTCGAGGCCAGCCTGGTCTACAAGCAAGTTCTAGGACAGCCAAGGCTACACAGAAACCCTGTCTCAAAAAAATAAAGGTGAAGCATGTTCTCCAGTTGCATCTTTCATTAGGAAGAGAGAAGGGGCAATGAAATCAACAAGGTGCATCACTGGGTTCTAGAAAAGGGATGAGGACCTGTGCCAGGGGTACCCGGTGCTTAGCTTCTCCAAGAGAACCATCACCAGGGGTCTGATGCTTGAGCCACTTGCATGAGTGGAAAGGAAACCAGCTTGGAGAGCATTTTAACCAAGGAGTAAGAGTAAAGTTACTGAGATGGTGAGGATCAAGCTGAGATTTTATTTACAGTTCCCTGGGAAGTCTTACAGCAGAGGGGCCATCTTTATTGCTTTAGGTTTATTGCCAGGAAGAAGACTGCAGTCCTCTTATGCTACATAGTAAATCCAGTTCCAGCCCAGGTTTGTCCCAAACCTTTTACAACCCCGTGTGTTTGCCGGTGGCCCAAAGGCTGTCACTAAATCCTCCAAATCACTTTGTTTTCTAAGGGCCACCCTGCCATTCCTGCGACACAGCCATCAAAGGCGTCCCCTCCTTTACCCCCTCTCTGTAAGCACAAAGTGTGACCCTAGATCTAGATTTAAGTCCTCCACCTCCAGGCAGGAGGTAGGGTTCTGGTTTCCCAAAGATTATCATTTACTTTCTGCCAGGACCAGCCCGGCTTCTATTGAACAAATACTACAAAGCCCCGTACCCTGTGTTCCAGAAAACATGATAACTCACTCTGTTCTTGCCAACCTTGACATTTCAAGGCTCAATTTTGAGGTACTCTCAGTGATTATCTGCTGGATGTTTTCTGGGTTTCGGCAAAAGGGAAAAGAAACGAGCAAGAACAAATGGCTGAGAAGTCGGCTCATGCCCGGGATTAGCGAGAAGGCCTAGCCGCAGGACACAGAGCAGGGGCGTAGGGGTTGGGTGGGAGATCTACTTTCTCTCTCAATCCCCAATGCGAAAGGATATGGCTTTGTTCATGCGAATCGCTACTCCAAGCCGGGACTCGTTGGTGGGCGGGGCTACCCTGAGTCTGCCTCTGCGTAGGAGCCGGGGTGGGGGTGAGGGAGCGATCCGGAGCTAGAGGGCTGGTTGCTGGAAAGTGGTTTTCCCGGCAGGTGCAATCACTCCTCGTTGGGTCCCCGCGCCCCCAAAGGACTATTTCTTGGAATTCGATTTGTTCCCCAAGAGCGCATCTATTTCCATCACTGTTTGTGGCGTCAGCTGACTCAGCACCTTGAGAATGGGCAGTGGAGAGGACAGTTTTTGCTGGGACACCAAAGAAGGGCATGATGAAGGCCACAGAGGTACCCAATGAGAAAGAAAGATTCTCAGCTGTTTGGCCCTGTCTCCCTGGACTTTCCTTTGCAGCGACAACTTTGTAGTCACTTCAGTCCGTTCAGGGTTACAGTATGGCTTTGACTCTAATCTCCAACTCACCTCTAGGGACCCCAGATGTTCCATCAGCTGCTCCACACTGGACACCCCCAGCAAGACTGAGCTGACACCCTCACTTCGGAGACACCAGGCTGGGATCAGAGGAGGAAAAAGAATTTTGACTCCACAAGTGTCTGCAGGGGGCCCTCTCCAGGAACATACTAGTCTAGGGATAGGTTTATGAAGTCTTACAGGGAGGCAGACCCCCGCAAGGGCTCACCTATAGCAAGTTGGGCGACAGTGCAGTCTAGCTGGTGAGCAATGGGGAGAAGGTCCATGACTCTGGCTTGTTGCTTCTTGTCATCCTCACTCTGCACTTTTTCCTTGAGCCACTGGTACCCCTGGAAGCAAAGGAGAATCGTGGAAGGCCCTACCCCCTCCTTAACCACTCAGCAGCCTAGATAGCCCAGATAGCCACCAAATCTCACCTTGACAGTGGCCTTGCATGTATCTGGAACTGGCCCATCGTACTTGCTAGTAATGAGGCCACACGCCAGGGGAGACCAAGTAACGGACCCAACACCTAAGAGCGAGAGGATTTGGTGTGGGACAGGGACTATGAGATGGGTGAAATAGGCAGGGTGGGGATGAGGGTCTGCACACCAATCTTGTGGTAGAGCTCAGGCAGCTGCATCTCCACCTTCTCTCTCTGAAAGAAGTGGTTCTCCGCTTGCTCACACACAGGAGGGATCAGATTGAACTGTCTGGCCATGGAGTACGCCTCCTGGTTGGTGTGGAAAGAAGACAGGGGTCAGAGCAATCCTTCCATTTTCTTCCTTCTCATGAGAAAAGGGGGCCAGACATGGGATGGGGAGTGTCAGAGGAACATACCATGATCTCTGCAGCACTCCATCTGGATGTCCCCCAGTACAGGGCCAGGCCCTGGTTGATGACGTAGGTCATGGCTCTCACAATTTCTAGGTGCACAGGAGAAGAGAAGCCTTGATGTCTGGTCCATGGAATCTTGGACTCCAGGTCCACCCCACCTAGACTGTCCACCCCAACAAGACTCAGGCATGTTTGTAGTCACATCTCTTCTTCCCCCGTCCTTGTTTGAGTGCTAGGGTCTGAGCCTCTGCTATGGAGGCCGGGGGACTTTTCAGTGGGGGGAGGCTGGCTTCCTGATGCCAATTGCACAGTTTTGAAGCGCCATCAGGTTTAGGGATACTGGTTTTACCCTCCATAGGACTGTTAGGGTCTGAACGATTGGCGAAGACTATGTCAACGTATTCCAGTTGAAGGCGGTCCAGGGATCCCTGTAGGCCTGGAAGTGGGAGAGAGGAGAGGAAGGTAAACATCTTACCTTCAATTTGCTGAGAATTCAGATCACACCCCCTTGTCATGGTCAACTTAATCTTCTACTTTCAGAACTTCAGAAGTAGTTCCAGTTCCTTCCAAGCCCACCCACCTCAGGTTGCCAGCCACCAGTTCTCACCTTCAATGATGTGTTTGCGACTCAAGCCTCGCTCAGTTTCTGCCCTGTAGGAAAAGGCTACATCAAGGATGGGAGTTATCTGGAGCTATGATGGCATGAGTCCTCACGGGCAGGAGGGGGGCAGGTGTGGGAAGCACCCCCCCACTCCTGCGCCATGTACCACATACTCCTTGTAAGTCTCCTCCCAGTCACTTACTGTCCTCCCCAAAAAATCTTAGTGGTGATGACATAGCTGGATCTCCTGAAACAAACAGACAAATAAATAAAATGACAGATCCAACAGGAAAATGATATTGGTCGATCATGTCTCCAGTAACCCACAAAACTGGTCTCACCTCCAACCTTTGCTCTTGAGGATGTTGCCTAGGGTTCTTTCAGCCCTGAAATAAAGACAAGGTGAGAACTCTGATCTCTCCAAGATAGACCAGTTCCTTTCCTGCCTCCCAGCTTGTCCCCTCCAGCAGAGAGAAAGGGGAGAGGGGGGAACGGGAGTCTCAGAGCAAAGGAGAGGGCTCCTGGAGCTAGTAGTGTAGTCGTATCATTTTTATTCATTTGCCCGTGTTGTGTATCAGTTGTGTACCAAGCCTTATTGTGGGTGCTTAAGGGGTATAATATAGTGAGGTGAGAGAAACAGAAGAGCCAGGGAGGACACTGCCTTTTCCGGTTTCAGTCTTCAGTCATCTGGATTCTCCCCTTCCCCTGCCTATGTAAATCAGCACGCATCCTCCTCTGGCCAGCTCTGATTCTGCCTGGGAATCCTTCTCACCAGCTTCCATAGAGTTGCTCACACTATTCCCCTCTCCTCCCTCCTCCCCCCTTTTGAGAAGAGGATCTGTTTTAGCCCAGGTTGGCCTCAAATTCTCAGCCTTCTTGTGCTAGAACTACAGGTGTGTGCCATCATGCCCAGCCTAAACAGCTCTGTTAGCACACAATTATGGTCCAACTGCGACAAGTCTTGAATTGTTGAAACACTTTACAGTGTTGGGACTCTTGTATATCCCTTGTTTGCATAATCACGTGGGCTGTATACGTCTTAAGGTTATGTTGATCTCTTCCTGAAACTGTTCATGCTTCTCTGGAGAGTCGTGGGAAGACAAATTGCGATGAGGTGGGAAGCCTCTGGGCTGAGCAGCAAATGGAGTTGTATAAAGCAGTCATTTGTTTTATGTCAGAAATTAGTACAGAGTGTCATGGATGCTCACAGAAGGTTATGACCAACTCTGGGCAGTTGGGTAAAATCTTCTTGGAGGATTTGACGTTTGAGCTAAATCTTGACGAAGAATGCTTATCAAATAATGAGGCAGAGGAAGCCACCCTAGACTCTGGCTGCTCCCAATGTAAAGTCTTAGGCATGTGATGTATTTGGTGTGTTTGAAAATACCGCTTTGTAATCTTTAGGATAAATTTGTTGGTTTTACTTTAATGTGACTGTACAATATGTCTACTGACCTCTAATCCAGAGAGGGAAGTGTTGTGAGAACTACAACTCCCATGATCCACAGGGGGAGGTAGCTATGAGCCTGAAAAGTTGGACTGTAGTGTTCCCAGAATTCCCAGGTTTTTTTTTTTTTTTTAAAGAGGGAAACAAGAATCCCTGATGTTCTCTCAGTCTGCCTTTCGCCCCAGTTCTTACTTTCCTGCCGCGTATACTTCAGCAGTGTCAAACAGGTTTACACCATGCTCATAGGCTACTGTCAGCACATCTTCTGCTATCTAGAGAAGTGAGAAAAAGTTGAAGATGAATGGCTGCCCCTTCGTTATTTCCCTCCCTGCATCCTAACCCACAGCACTTTAGTCCTGCTTGCCCATTTTCTCTCCTTTGCCTGTCCTCCAGCCTTAGATCCCTTACTGCCCCCCAAGCTTGTCCAAACCCTAACCGGATCCACTTCTTTCTCTCCCCATTCCAACACCACAACCACATCTACCCTGTTACCCATCACTTATACCTCATCTGAGATCTGAGAGCCAAATGTGACCCAGGTACCTGCAAGACAGAAGTCCGACACATGAGGACTGTGGGAACCACAATGTCAAATAAGCCCCTTTCTCTAATTTCTATTCTAACTCACCAAGGCCAAGACAGGACACCCGGAGACCAGACTTTCCAAGGTTCCTGCAGGGCACACAAGCATCAGGGAAGGGTGAAGCCTCCAGTGGGGACTTGGATTATCAGTCCCCAGATCCTGTCCTTCCAAACTGAGAAGCCCTCAAGGGTCTCAGTCCAAAGAAACCAGACCCAGTGGGTTGATGGGATTGGCAGTGCCATCCCCATAGCAGAGACCCTAGGAATATTGTTGAAAGAACTCAAGTGAACAGATAGTGACTGACTGCTCCTCTGAGAGCCACTGTCTAGCACTTCCATTCCTACCATCTGTGCTTCTGGTTTGCCTTTGCTTCTAGGTGAAGTCCTGCCTGTGTCTCCATCTCTGGGATGTGTGGAGTAATGGCTTTGAAAAATGTGGATTGTGGTGAGTTTGAGAATAGGTCCTCAGTCAAAGAATGACCCACTAGAGGGTGACAATAAAAAGATGTAAGCCAACTCCAGTCCAGGTACTTGACTAGGCACATAGACAGGGCTCCAACAAAGGCAGGTGTGGGGATGAGGAGGATTTGACAGGAAATTCTGTTTCCCTCTCTTCCTCTCTTCATTGACTTCTGAGGATTGAACTACAAATCCTTCTCTTTCCAAGTTACAGATCAAACAGCTCTACTTCCTAATCAGAGCTGCAACAGAGATGATTGGATATTTCAGGGGACTAAGACAGGCCACATCAATGACCTCAGCACATTCCCAAGAAGTGCCCCCCCACCCCCGCACCCCTTGAGTTCTGAGAGTCTCTGGCCTGCAGTCCCCTGAGTTAAAGTAAAATTTCCAGAGCCCTTCCCACCCAACTCTTGTCTTACAGCATGGGGATGAAAGACGTAGTCTGTCCCCTTCCCCTCTCCTGCCCTACCTCACCCTGGAAAGATTGAGGGAGAGCAGCCTCGGGGCTGTGGGGGCAATATCTGGGTCAGGCGCCCCAACCGGCCAGAATGAGATTGCTTCCCTTCCTCCTCTCCCCAGGACGCCAACCCAAGGACACTACGTTGGAGGGGTGGAGGGGGGAAGCAGCCTGGAGATAGATACAGGCGTTCCCCGCTTTTTTCTTTTTCTTTTCTTTCTTTCTTTTCTTTTCTTTTTTTTTTTTTTTCTTTTTTTTTACGGTTAAGGAGGGCAGCTCAGGGGCACGACCGGACTCTGTCAACCTTGGTAAACTTGGTCTCATAGTTAGGGGAACTAACAGAGACCAAGAGAGGGATTGCCAGTGACGGAAAGAAGAGGGGAATGACCCTTTAAGCTAAGTTTGAAGGGGTAATGGAGACTAATGCAGAAAGCCTCAGGGGTCCCGAAAGGGAAGTGAATGGATAGGCTGCCTGGCCACCTCATACCTGTATTTCATGCCAGTGCCTCGGCCGGTGCTCTCTCGAAGGGCCCCAGCGGGTGCTGGGGGTCGGGGTACCAGTGCAGCTCGTGACTTGGGTCCACCCCCCGGAGGATTCCCATGCCCTCCGCCCACTGGCCCCCCATTACCGCCCCCTGGACCCGGCCGGGGTCCACACAGACGGTCCTCACTGCTCCGGCTGCGAAGGTTCTGCTCGGTACACGCGATAGACACCTGCATGCCGGCTGGCCGGGGCGGGGGAGGGGGCTCGGAGGGAGAGAGAGAGGAGGGAGCGGGAAGTCCGAGGGCAGACACCGGTGTGGTGGTAGCGCGATCCCTGGGAGAGCGGGAAGGCTGAGGAGGCTGCAGCTACAGCCGCCAAACGGGATCGGGCCCGCGGGGGCGGGCTGCTGGAGGTCGCGGGGTTTGCGGCGGGAAAGGAAAACCGTGGCGGGGGGGCTGGTGCCAGGAGTGGTGGGTATTCAGATGCCGGGAGCTGTGATTCAGGGTGTAGGAGGATAAATGGGTAAGGATAAAGATAAAGTCGAGGACGGTCTTCAAGGATAGAGACCAGGGACAAGGGGTGGCGAAACACGGGTGCCACTTCAGCTGGAACCGCTGCGGGACCGCGGTGCTCCCAGCCGCGTCGGCAGCGAGCCTAGCTCATCAACATGCAGGCCCTGCCCCTTCATCTGCATGGATCCGCCTGCCTCCAAGCCGAACACGCGGCTTTCTCTGCATAAGCTCCGCCTGCGGAAGGCTCCCGCACTTAAACATCAGTGTGCCTTGGTAATTACAACCCGTTTTAGGAACGAGGTTCTCACTTTCTGTACTTGAAGCACGTCAGCTTTCCTCCAGGTCAGTGGCGCGCAGTCGGGAGGGGCTTTTTTTTTGTCCCCCAGAAAACAAGGTTTGGAGACACTGATTGTCACAACTACAGGTGAGGCAGGATGTGTGTACTACATCTAGCAAGTGGTAGCAAAGGATGCTGCTAAAATTCTAAAATGCAACAAAGAATTATCCAGCTGATCCATGGCGAGCAGTAAAAGAGTGGAGAAATCTTCTGGGAAAACCTCTTTATAGGCTTCAGGGATGCGTGGTTACCCTAGTTCTCATCTTTGGGGGAGTCACACGGGGAGGGGGCCACAGAAACTCAACACTCAGGCAGCAGGAGGTGACAAAAAGTTTATTCTTTGTTTCTCACAGAGTCAAGCAGGGTATAAAACTGTCAAGGACCCTTTGAGTTTCATTCTTATGACCTGAGGCAGTGGGTGGTGGGGCCTTCAGGGTGAAACTCTAGGGGGAGTTAGGGAGGTGGAAGGGTTCACAGTGCCACAAGTCAGAAGGGTCCAGACAGTCACAGAGTCTTCTGAGGGGCGAGGTAGATGTTTCAGCCAGCTCGGGCAGAGAAGAAGGGCAAAGATCTGACATAAGAGTCTAGCCGGGAGCGGAAGAGCTCACTTTGCACAGTCTGTCCCAGCGGGCACAGAGGATTCTTCACGACCAACTCCACATACAGCTGTGAAGAGGAGGGTGTGTCAGCCAGATTTGGGACACTTCTCATTTTCAATCTCCAACCTGGTATAACCTCAGGGACGTAAGAATACACAAGGGGGGGGGGTGCTGAAGAGATGGCTCATCGGTTAAGAAATCGTATAGCTTTTGCAGAGGATAGTCAGTGCCCAGCACCCATGTTGACTGGCTCACAACTGCTTGTATGTATGACCCTCTTCTGCCCTCCACAGACACCTGTACTCACATGCACACACACCCTCTACACATACATATAATTAAAATTAAATCATTAAAGTCCACTCAACCTATCCCTTAGGAAAAGCTATTCCTGTTCAAGGAGCTGAAGGCTCTGGAGAAAACTGAGTTCAACAGGGATATAATACAGAAGGGTTAGGGCAGAAAACTTGAGGGGCTCCTAGGGCTCTGGGAGGAGGGCTCCTGGCTGACACTGACCGCACTGTAGATGTGGTGTAGTACATCTCGAATAGGACCCACGCCCAAGTCAGTATTCATGACAACCTTGATTCCAGTGGGCGTTTCATAGTAATGGAGTTTGTACCGGCTAGTTTGGAAAGACAGAAAGCCATCCTTCCTGCAGAAATGGGTATTGAACAGGAGTGAAATAACCCCCAAAGAAATATTTGTGATCCCCTCAAGGTCAACTCCTTCCTATTCTTATAAACAGATGGTTTGTAGCAGCCTCATTGAATAAAAACACCTACCATCATCCCCACCCCTCGACTTAGCTATTGCTGCCTTCACCCGCCTACTCTCAGATTCTCCCTGCAGCCCTTTCTGCCAGCTTCGGGCTCTTGTTCCAGATTCAGCCCTCTCTCTCTTACGTCCCCCTCCCCTCTCTGGGGCCACATGCCAATTACATTCCAAAACTAATATCTCCCACTCCCAAAGCTAGTTAGCCCTCCCTTCAGCACACCCTCTAACACTACCGTACATGTCTAGCGGGGACATCTTGCTGACAAACGAACGAATGGAGAAGAGCATCCCATACATCAGCTTGTACTCCTAGAGGGAGAGGAGGTAGAGTTAGGTCTCGGTTATGGAATGAGACAGGATGGGAGTGGAAAGAAACCGGGATTTGGAGAGGAGAGACTAGGCTGGGACGATGTGCGTTTGGGAGTGTGCCGGGACCCTCCGATCACCTCTTCCTTAGGGATCCCCGCTTGCTTCTTGCGGTGCCATTCGCTGTAGTGTAGACACACTCCATTCCGGTCAAATAGGTACAGATTGTGGACAGTCATCTGCAAGATAAAGAGCCTCGCTCGATGGCATGCACCCGACTCTATAGGACCCGGTTCTTCAGCTAGGTGGGATCCACACCTCCGGACTCACCGGAATTGCCAGTGAGGGTGACAAGCTACTTCCGGTTTCCAAAGCCCAGCTGTGTTTCAAGCCGCACTAGCAGAGCCAGACTCCGCCTCTCTGCCGCAGCCAATGCATGCTCACCGATGCCTCACGCATGCGCACCCAGGCCTCTGAAGCCTAGTGAGGTGTGGAGAGCGTGGTCTCGCGGGCGTGTGACGTAATTCATGGGAGGCGGGGCTGCAGGCGGTGGGCGGGAGGTTGCCAACGGTTTTGAGAGCAGAGTGTCGCGCTGGGAAGGGGTGTGCTTTGGTCTTTCTCTGTCGAGGTTGTAGGGTAGGGGGACAGTCCTCTTCATCTTGGCAAACTAGGGGCCGGCATGCTCAGAGCAGTCAGAATCGGGTGGTCGCGGTAGAGGATCCCAGGCGGGCCGTGCTAGGTGGTGGGGAGGCGCGTGCATTCTAGGGCCGTTTGTAGAGATTTCTTAGGGTGGAGTAGGGAAGATTTTTTTTTTTTTTTTTTTTTTTTTTTTCCCACATGGGAGTCGACTCTGGGTGGAACAGGTGAATTAGGGGCAATGAAGTCTTGCTTCTTTCTGCATAAAACCAATTGAGGGACAGACATTGGCTCCACTTTGGTTTGGGGTCTGTGTTTGCACATTTTGAGTGTGAAAAAGTTAGCCGGTGCTGAAGCTGATCTGCCGCTTCCAGAGTTCCCGTTAGGAAGGAACTTTAGCGTTGTCGTTGCCCTGCAGGTCTTCTGTCCTTTACCTGGAAAGCCTTGCTTTCGTGGTTTCCAGAAGAAGGAATGTCTTTGTCCTCTCCATGGCCTCTGGAGCCAGTGGACACTCCTCCTACCAGGAGGACCTGATACTCCTATTTACTGAGGATCCACCAAAGGGCCTTCCTCCCTTCTTACAAATCTTCCTTCTCGGTGAACTTATCCACAAGTTTGGAAACTTTCCAAACAGCCAGGTGTTGCCAGTTTTCTGCTGTGTCCAGCTGTCCCTTCACTGTACATGGCTACAGCAGCTACCAGCCCCGGTTCTCCTCTCCAGCCAGAGGACCTCCTGAGCGATTCATCAGAGCCTCCTGGGTTGAATCAGGTGTCCTCAGAGGTCACCTCCCAGCTCTATACTTCTTTGCATCTCAGCCGTCAAGCGGAGGCAACAGCCCGCGCACAGCTGTATTTATCTTCCACCTCCTCACCACCTAATGAGGGCTTGGACAGCTTGGCTCAAGAACTGAGTCGCAGCTTGTCCGTTGGACTGGAGAACAACTTGAAGAAAAAGGTGAGAGAGGTGTGCAGTGGAGATCTTCCAAGCATTAGAAAGCATTAGGCTCTCAGATTTTCAGGTTAGCTTGTTGTGCCTTGAATCTATTACTAGATTTAAATTATCTCCTAAGTACACAGGTTTTCATGCTTTTGTCTCATAGAAGACGTGAATGAAGGAATGCCATGAAACCACATTACTTGGGAAATGATGGTTTCTAGTGTTTTGGATTTTTCTTTTTCTTCTTCTTCTTTTTTTTTTTTTTTTTTTTTTTTTTTTTTTGCATGGTTCAGACATCTGCACTGTAGAGTAGGTTGGTGTACTGGAAGTGGGGATTAGGTTTCTTGGACTCAGGTGAAAACAGAAGCAACTTAAAGACAGCAGCAAAACATGCAAAGGTCTTTTCAGCTGCAAGTTTTGATTGCATTGTTCAAAATGTGACATACAAGTCATTAAAATGCATGTTTCAGAGAAGGTAGTCAGTGTCACCAATGGAAAAGGTACCACTAGTCCACAGACAGGTTAGGTCTGCCAAGGTGTGGGATCCAATAGAAAAGCTGCACCAGTCTCCTCCAGACAGGGCATTTGCTCCGCAGTTGACAGCAGTCCCTTCTAGCCCTGTTTTATACCTGCTGCTTTATTCACACATTCTCCTTTCTGGCTTCTGTGAACATTCGGGTTTTGGGTTCAAGGTTAAGATCTTTTTTGTTGGGTTTAACAACTTTCCTCGATTTGCTAAGTCCTGTTTGAACCGTCTACCCTGGTGGATGGTATGTGGAATATAGATGATACAGGTTAAGTATGACTTCTGTGGGCTTTCCCCTTAGGATGGGTCTAAGCATATCTTTGAGATGGAAAGTGTTCGGGGTCAGCTCCAGACCATGCTCCATACCTCACGTGATGCGACCTTTCGTAAGTTGGCCCCTTCCTTAGAGCTCTAGAGGAAAGCTGAGGTGTAGGAGCAGAAGGGAAGCGGGAACTTAGACCTCTGAGGTGAGATTTGAGAAGAGAAAGCACTCATTCTCTGGGGAGAGGTTTGGGGGGGTGGGGGTACACTTTTTCAAATGGCCTCTCTTCCTGTTCCTACTTGTTCCTTACTCTGGGTCTCTTGGGCTGCAAGCAGAGGATCCCCTCATTCCAGGAACTGGCTCCGAGAGACGGGAAGAGGACTCCTTTGACAGCGACAGCACAGCTGCCTTGCTCAAGTGAGTCTCGTAGGAGGTCCCCTGGCCTTGGAGTTCTCGCTGCAGCTCACTCGCTGTTGTTCTCCTCTCTCGTTCCCTTGTCATCACTTTTCACTTCTGGGGAACCTCAGAAACCTGTCATGAGTTTTCATCTTTTGCTGTCTAGTCCTTAGCTCTCTCTGTCCTTACTTAGCCCATCTTCCTCTTGAAGAATACGCTCATTTCTGCTGTTATTAGACCTCATTTTAGGGGCATTTTAGGGGAAGAGCATCAGGAGTAGATCACAGGCCTCTGTGCTATTGATTGCTCTCCTTAGCTTAAGTTTATGACTTTGGGCAAGTCTCTTGCATGTGCTAGGTCTTGGTTTTCTGATGTATAAACAGGCACTGTAGGATCAGTGGATTTCAAAGGTTTTCCCAGTTTTGACAGTTTCTATCTGGTTTGCTCAGCACTCGGCCTCTGCAAGATCTATCACCATCCAGCTCAGCCCAGGCATTGGAAGAGTTGTTTCCCCGTTATACCAGCCTTCGGCCAGGGCCTCCTGCCAACCCCCCAGATTTTCAGGGGCTGAGAGATGCACTGGACTCAGAGCTTACTCGCCGCAAGGTGAGAGGCAAAGGCTTTCTTCTGGAAGTGGCAAGGTTAGAAATTAGGAGTCTTGGGTGGAAAAGTGGGGCTGGGAGTTTATGAGCCTGCAGGCAGGGTCTGTGCTCTAGGGTGTCTTCAGAAAGGCCCTCAGTAAGTGTCCTGTGTAAAGTGTACCACCTTCCCTGCAGAGAATCATCAGATCCCTGATTCCCTTCAGCAGCTCATCATTCACACACATCTTATTTGTTCTCCCCTCTAAAGTCTAAGCTCTTCAAGAGTCAGTACCATGTCCTATTCAGTACTGGCTCTCTAAGGTCTAGACTACTCCTAATAGGAAAGAAAAAAAAAAAAAAACCAGAAGCATTCCATGTTTGTTGAATGGATAAGAACTTCCCTGGCTTGCAGAAAGCTTTAAAGCTATGGGTGATATAGTGATCTTTTCCTCCATGACTGCCAGCCTTATGTCTGGAGGGGCAGGCAGATGAACAAGAATGAAGAAAAGGCAGAATCACTGGTTGTCAATTTTGGAACTCTCCCCATTATTTTAAATGCTGGGCCATAAATGAAAGGCTCTCTGCTTTGTGATCAGTAAGCTCCTCAGAGTTGCAGTGTAGGCTGCTGCCGTACCTCTGCCAATTGGCTTATGGAAAATCTAGGAAAGGGAAGAGCATGGGAGCTAACAGCCATTTCCTGAGCTAGTAGAAGAAAGTGTTTGGAGGTCTTGTGCTCCAGGATCCCTGATTCTTCCTTTTCAAACAAGTCTGTTTTGGGGATCTGAGCTTCCTGACTCTAACCAATCTCTCCTAAGGATGCTGAAATGTCTGGTGCTGTGTTCACAATAAGAATGAACAGCACTCACAAGCCTCATGTTTCTTTCCAGCATTGTGAGCGCCACATTCAGAGCCTGCAGACTCGGGTGTTAGAGTTGCAACAACAGCTAGCTGTGGCTGTGGCTGCTGACCGCAAGAAAGATATCATGATTGAACAACTAGATAAGGTGACAGGGTGTCGAACATCGGTGGGTCTTTCCCTGGAGGGAACTGTAGAAGTGTAAATGGGGGATGGTAGGGTCTCATTATATAGTCTTCCTTTGAGCTTTTAGTGGCCATCCTGTGGCCATCCTGCCTCAGCCTCCCAAGTGCTGGGATTATAGGTGTGAACCGCTATACACTGCTTAACCACTGTGTGTGCATTCTAACGGGAGGCAGAGATGGATGAACAGGTTTTCTGACTTGGGAGAAGGATGTAGCTATAACTTCTAGAAAAGAGGGCAAAAAATGATTTTGAAATTCCATTTTACTCTCCTTTCTTGAGACCCTGGCTCGAGTGGTCGAGGGCTGGAATCGGCATGAAGCTGAGCGGACAGAGGTGCTTCGGGGACTTCAAGAGGAGCGCCAGGCAGCAGAACTCACCAGAAGCAAGCAGCAGGAGGTCAGAGACCTGGCTTATGTGGCATTAGAGCCTAGGCCATAGATGTCTAGATGGAAGGAAATGGCTTTGGTATTAGGGTTCCCGAAAGACTGGCCTCTACTCATAGTGCCGTTCTTCTCTCCCCTTTCCTCTACTATTACTGCATCTACTGTCAGATTTATATTAGTGGTGGCTTCCCAGTCTTTCCTACTTCACACCATCTTCTCTTTGGTGCCATAGGTTGGTTAGTCAACACAGGGGCTTCAAGTTTACACTGCTTACTATTTCTGAAGTACAGGCATTTTCATGGTTCTATGTTTTTCTCTCCCGAAAGACAGTAACTCGCCTGGAACAGAGCCTTTCTGAAGCCATGGGAGCCCTCACTCGTGAGCAGGAGAGTAGCAGACTGCAGCAGAGGGAAAGGGAGGCACTGGTGAGAAGGCGGCTGGGTGACCACAGCGGGGCTCCTTAGTCGCGTCTAGAGGCCTGAGGGCTCTACATCATCTGAGGGATGATGTAGAGGAGTGTGCAGTTTGAGTGGCGCTGGGGCAGTGCGGCTCAGGTACATCCTCAGAGTATTAGTTCTGTTAGATAGTCTACCGAGGGCAGCCCCCTCTTCCAAGGCCTGCTGCCAGGCCAATTTGAGGCTGAAAATTATATCCTTATTAAAAATGATCCTTTAGCCCATCTGAGGAGCTGGGTATGGTGTCTCAGACCTTTAGTCCCAGCACTCTGGAGGTAGACAGAGGCGGGTAGATCTCTGTGAGTCTGAGGCTAGGCTGGTCTATATAGAGAATTCTAGGCCAACCAGGACAACATAGTGAGACCCTATCTCCAAATACACACACACACACACACACACACACACACACACACACACACACACACACACACGGTTTTCCTAGAACCCTTCCCCTAGTGAGACCCTATCTCCAAATACACACACACACACACACACACACACACACACACACACACACACACACACACGGTTTTCCTAGAACCCTTCCCCTACTTTTAAAAGCCAGAGGACCCTGGAATCTTTGAGCCTTATACATGCTAGACAAGAGTTCTGCCACTGAGTGGCACCCTCAGTCTCTTGCCCCTAGAGGCTTTGACTCAACAGATACATTATAGGTTTCAGAAATTTCCTAGGTGATTTGTTCACTCAGGTGTGGGAACTGGGCTGGGTTATATAGCCTAAAACAGTATAGTATGAAACTCATTGGAAGTCTTAGAGCACATGAATACCTATGTGAGTTAGTAGCCAGGCTTGGAACTTGTGGCTTTCATGACACATGCTTGCTACATGTAGATTGATGCTTGTGGTTAAACAACTATACCTGACGGTGCTAATGGTGTAGCCACTTGACCTGCTCCTGAGGAGGCTGGATTTTCTTCCTTTTTTATGATGATGGTGATAGCTATTTGTTAAGTACTTGCTAGGTGCCAGACATTGCTAAATGCTTTTTATACACTACTTTTTACTTTAATCCTCACAAGATGAACAATGTTGATTTTTTTTCCTTTTACAGATAATGATGTGTGCCTAAGAACACACAGTATACTGGGCATGGTGGCATACACCTGTAATCACAGCATCTGGGAGGCTAAGGCAAGAGGATCATGAGTTCAAACTCAGCCCAGGCTAGATAGCCAGATTCTAACTCAAAACCACATAATATACAAATATGAAAAGTAGGATTCAGGCTGAGATTTAAACCCAGATCTATCTAACTCTGGGACAGAGTTTTATATATTTATTATTTTTATTTAAAAAATTATCAGCAAGGTGCAGTGGCATACATCTTTAATCCCAACATTTGAGAGGCAGAGGCAGAGGCAGGCAGATCTTTGTGGGTTCAAGGACAGCCAGAGCTACATAACAAGGCTCTGTCTCAAAAAACCAAAAAATTTAAATTGTTTTGAAAGTTCCATAAGAAGTAGTGTGCTTATATCACACATTCACAGCCCATGATATGTTAAATCTTCATTTGACCTTACATTTCCTTTAATAAGGTTTTCCAGCTCCCCTTCACACATAGCCTGTCTTAGTGTAAGTTTCTCTCAAATGTGAAGGTTACAAGCCAGGAGCAACGTGCCAGGTGGGTTGTTTCTGACCTGCAGGCAGGTAACTTCTTGTGGCACCCTCACTTGGCAAGAAGGCAAGGTGGGTCTGCTTTTAAAATAGACTATATTTTATTTATTTATTTATTTTTACCGAACTTGTACATATAAACAATGTGTCTTGATAAATGCACCCCAAATCCTTCCATACCCCCCACCCCCAGAGGGCCTTCAGTATGTCTCCTTCAAGTTCTTTCCTTCTGGGTAACCCGCTTAGTGCAGCTGCTGCTACCTTTCCTGCTGTTGGCTGGTTACACACAGATCTTATGCAGGTGACCATGGCTGCCGTGACCATGAATGCAAGTGCCATGCTGTGTTCAATGGACAGCATTCGACAGCACTCCACTCTGTCCCTCTTCATGCCATTTCCTGAGCCTTGGGAGGTGGGGGGGCAGGTGGATAGCGATATGGATGCCCCCACTTAGGGCTGAGCACTTACTACCAAGTCACTCACAATGTTGTCTCCAGTTCTGAGTGTCCAAATTAAGTGCTGCCCCTGCACAATGAACCTTCTCTGGCTAAATAAATGTGTTTAAACATGAATTTAAAATTTTTATGTGTATGGTTGATTTGCCTACATGTATGTCTGTGCACTTTGTGCATGCCTGGTACTCACAGAGGCCAGGAGAAGGCTTCAGGCCCCTGATAACTGAACCTGGGTCCTCTGGAAGAGCAACCAATGCTCTTAACCACTGACCCATCTCTCTAACCCTTAAACATGAATATTTAGAAGACATTTTGACATCAGTCCACTTAGCAAGATAGCGGTAGTAGGTTCCCCACCCCCAGGACCTGTAACTGTCAAGCCCTGGGCTTCTGTTAGGGTTACAGTACCTGGTGAGCATTCCTTCTGGGGGATCTGTGGGATGGAGTTCTTGCCCACTGTATTATAATCCTGTTAGCTAGTCAACTGTCGGGTTCTAGTGACCACAGTCCTTGGCACTCACATTGTATGGGGTGGTTGCCAGGCCTCTCAGGACACACTAAAGAAGTTGGCCTTCTCCCGCGGCTTTAGGAAGAAGAAAGGCAAGCTTTGACTCTGAGGTTGGAGGTGGAGCAGCAGCAGTGCCGGGCCCTCCAGGAAGAGCGGGATGAGGCTAGGGCTGGGCAGCTCAATGAGCACCGCAAGCTGGAAGCCCTTCAAGTTGCTATAGAAGAGGAAAGGCAAGCCTGGACCCAGCAGGAACACCAGCTGAAGGGGCACCTTCAGGCCCTGCAAGAGGAAGGCCAGGCTCAGCTGGAAAGAGAGAAGGTAGAAGTGGCAGTTGGAGGAGTTGGGAAATGGAAACACACGCTGGGAAAATTACTGACTAGGATGAGATGCCGGAAGATGGAGGTCAATAGGGAACAAGGATGGAGAATGAAGAGTTACACGTGAAAGTTGGGAGTTGAGGACCAGTGTGAAGGTCTTGGAGCAACAGATACATGGCAGGCCAAAGAGTGACATTCAGCAGAGATGGGGAAACAGGACAAATGGGAGGAGGGAAAGATGGGGTGTGACTTGGAACCAGCAACCAGGAGTTAGGAGGTGAGGCACATGCACTGAGACCAGATTTTCCTTAGGGGAACAGCCAGAGGGAGGCGCAGGCAGCCCGGGAGGCCCAGCACCAGTTGGTACTGCTGCAATCTGAGGTGCGGCGGCTGGAGGGGGAGCTGGACACAGTCCGGAGAGAGAGAGACGCTCTGCAGCTGGAGATGAGCTTGGTCCAGGTGAGCAGCACAGGGCTCAGAGGGGTTTTCTGTAGCTGAGAAAGCAGCTCTGAGCACATACAAAGACTTTGTAGGAATTGTGGAAGATTTGCCCATCTCAGGTATTTGGGACTTATCACTGGTTAATTCAGTAGTATTCTGTCTTAAATGGCACTATATCCTCATGGAAGGACAGTGTCCCACAATGTGATCTGACTTACTGTTACTTTTAGACTACAAAAGTTTAAATGTGAAATACCTTATACTATTCTCATACAATACATCCCAACTGCATCTTCCCCTTACTCTGCTCTTAAAGAGATGATAGATACCCACTTATTGCATACACTGACTGAGCAGTTGAAAGTTTTTGTTAGACCTGACTCCAATTGGTAATGGTCTGCTTTATATTTATCATTACTTTATTTATCCTTTTAAAAATGTATAATTTATTTTATTTTATGTTCATTAATATTTTGCCTGTACACATGTCTGTGTGAGGGTGTCGGAAGCCCTGGAACTGGAGTTACAGATAGGTATGAACTGCTATGTTGGTGCTGGGAATTGAACCCTGGTCCCCTGGAAAATTAGCCAGTATTCTCAACTGCTAAACCTTCTCTTCAGTCCCTACTTTATTTATCTTTTAAAATTTTTATTTATCAGCTGGGTGGTAGTGGTTCACGCCTTTAATACCAGCACTCAGGAGGCAAAGGCAGGTGGATCCCCGTGAGTTTGAGACCAGCCTAATCTACAAGAGCTAGTTCCAGAAAAGGCTCCAAAGCTGCACAGTCTCCAAAAGCAAAACAGAGCAAAAATTTTTTATTTATCATTGTATATTTGGTATCTCTGTGTGTGTGGGTGGGGTGGGGTGAATATGTACCATGACACTTGTAGAGGTCAGAAAATAATATTTTCCGTCCACATGAGTTTTGAGATTGAACCCCGGTTCAGTTCCCAGTACTGGTTAAAACAATAGCCAAAAACCTTTCTGGAGCGGGAGAGATTGCTTGGCGGTTAAGAGTACTGGCTGATTTTTCAAGGGACACATCTGTAATTCCAGTTCTAAGGGATCCAATACCCGTTTCTGGTCTCTGTGTGGACCAGGCACCAACATGAAACATGAAACCTGACATTGAAGAGCCTTGACTTGGGAACACTCTTAGTTCTGACCATTGTGGGCCTCTGTTTTAATGTGTAAAATGTGTGCTAAGAGCCAGTTGGAGAGTTTCTGAGAACAAGTCAGGAAATCCAGCAACATCACAAAGGACATATATGGAGAAACAGCCACTGTGGGATTAGAACTGAGCTCTCCCAAAGTGAAGTGGCCGTCAGATAGACACCAGTGAGCTGGAGGCCTGAGGGGAGGGAATGGAGGTGGCTTTTGTAGACGACTGACTGAATGCCTCCTGAGTTCAGACACATACTGCAGATTGTTCTAACATTCCCTTGGGTTAATATATCTGTATTTTCTGTTCAAAGCCACTTTACTTTTGTGTGCATAAATGATGTGTCTCACGGTTCAGGAAAGAAAGGGAACCTGTGTCACTCTGAGGCAGATTTCTTGTTCTTCACCCTCGAGGCGGATAAGGGCTTGTTGGTACTGGCTTTGTTTACATTTCCACTGCATAGAAGACTAAACTCAAACAGAGTTGAGCCGACAGCCAGTCCACTCTAATTCACTCCCAGGCCCGGTACGAGAGCCAGCGGATCCAGATGGAGTCAGAGCTGGCTGTACAGCTGGAGCAGCGGGTGACAGAGCGTTTGGCAGAGGCTCAAGAGAACAGCGTGCGGCAGGCTGCCTCCCTCAGGGACCATCACAGGTACTTGGGACTTACTAGATGGAGCCTCTCTGGCAGCAGCAAGTGTCATTAGCTTCCTGCCCATGTGCTGAGAGCTGCTTACCCTTTTCCAGTGTGACTCCCAGCATGCTTTGCATCCCATCCAAGATCTAAGATGCTCCCTCTTGGGAGAGTTCCATGAAGTGCTTATGGAGAGGCATATGAAATTTCTCTCCCAGAAGGCACAGCCCTGTCCAGAAGTGGCAGGACAGTGATGTTCCCAGCTCCTTTTTTGGGATAGTGTTGAAGTGTTCACAGCTGTTGTGTATGATGAGAACCTCTCTCCTACCTCAGCCTTCTGTCACTCCATCCCTCATCCATGTCTTCTGGAAGGGCTTCCTTTTTGTTTGTTTGTTTGGTTTTGTTTTTATTTTTTTTTGTATATAGATTAGACTGGCCTTGAATTCACAGAAATCTGCCCATCTTTCCCTCCTGAGTGCTGGGATTAAAGGCGTGTAACACCAAGCTTGGTGGAAATGCTTTCTATTATGTCATTTTCAAGTGGATGTGGATTACAATCCTGTAATCTCAGTTTGGGTGGCTGAGGCTGGAGGATTGCAAATTTAAGATGAGCCTGGGCTTTGTAGTGAGATTCTGTCTCAAACAAACCAAACCAAACTGATGGGCTAATCTATTGATTCCCATGAATCCCTGCTGCAGTCTCTGGGGAAGCCACTCTGTGGTATCTGCTTTGCTCTTACCTGTCCCTGTGCTGCGGCTAGGCCAGGTGATTGCAGCTGTCTGTGTCCCTGACCTGAACCCACTGGAATAAGGGTCCCTAATGGTGAGGTGTCAAGTAGGAACACCAGGGATGAAAAATGAAGATGACAAATGCACTTGCTGGGACCAGCAGGTCTTGCATAAGCTGATGACGTATGTCAAACAGGTTTATTAAGAAGTATAGCATCACTGGGTGGTGGTGGTCCAGCACTTGGGAGGCAGATAGATCTCTGAGTTTGAGGCCAGCCTGGTCTACAGAGCAAATTCCAGGACAGCCAGGGCTACACAGAGAAACCCTGTCTCAAAAAAAAAAAAAAAAAAAAAAAAAGAAAGAAAGAAAAGGTAGGTCAGCAGTAAGCTAAGTCAGACATATTGGCAAAGAGAACACAGGATCCCTCAGACACAGCTGCCTAGGGACTGATAGCCACAGCCCAGGGGGAAGAGTCAAGTCCCCAGAAACTACAACCTTGACTCTCTGAGGAGACCCTAGCTCCAGCCCTAAATTGGCCTTGCCAAGTCCACTCTGAGACAAGGACACAGAACTAATGCTCTTTCTGTCCTTTCATGGGGCCTCTGAGAATGTCTTGTGTTGGTCAGGCTCCCCACATCTCTCCTTACCTATACACATTCTGTCTTTTTCTCAACGATCACACCTTTCTGTTTAAAAATGTCCGTGTTTAGGTATGTTCAGTCAAGTACAGATGCCTGTGGAGGCCAGATAGGGGGTTGGACCCACGGAGCTGGAGTTGGCAGCAGTTGTTAGCTGCCCGGTGTTGGTGCTAGGAGCTGAACTTAGGTCCTCTGCAAGAGCAGTACATGGCACACTCTTAGACACCGAGCCACCTCTCCAGCACCCTGGTGCTACCTCCTGTCTCTAGCCTGTTTGTTTTTTTTTTCTTTCTCACTTGGGCCTTCCCAGGAAGCAGCTACAGGAACTCAGTGGGCAGCACCAACAGGAACTGGCCGCTCAGCTGGCTCAGTTCAAGGTAGAAATGGCTGAGCGGGAGGAGCGGCAACAGCAGGTGACTCAGGATTACGAGCTCAGGTACTGGGGATGGTGAAGAGCGGCCTCTCAGATGATTGGCCTTCCCTCATGCATGCGTCTAATCTTTAGTAACTTTGGAGGTCGGATACCACATCCCGGCTTGTGTCTTCTTGGCCTCTGTTCCCTTAAAGTCCCTAAGTCACCTTTTTAATGTGTGTGTTTGGATGTGTTCCTTTGGATGATGTGAAGGTCACAGGTCAATGTCAGATGTCTCCTTCACCTTGTTTTTTGAGACACTGAACTTGGAACTCACCAATCTGGCTAGACTGTCTAGCCATTGAACGCTTGGGATCTCTAGGCTCTCACCCAGCACTGGGGATCCCTATGTGCATTGCCGCACCCTGCCCTCCCATGGGGACCCTTGGGCTTTTACAATAGACAGGTACCAACTGAGCCTTGTCCCCAGCTGCTCTCTTTTCTTCAGACTGGCAAGGGAGCAAGCTCGAGTGCGTGACCTGAAGAGTGGCACCCAGCAGCTGGAGGAGCAGCGGGTAGAGCTGGTAGAGAGGCTCCAAGTTATGCTGCAGGCCCACTGGGATGAGGCCAACCAGCTGCTCAGCACCACGCTCCTGCCTTCCAACCCTCAGGTGGGCATTGTCCCAGAGAAGAGCTGTCCTGCCCAGCTAAACCGTTTTTCCATGGCCATAACTTACCATACTGGCCCCAGTCCATTGGGAATAGCTCTGTGATCCCAGTAGAATAATGGCCAAATTAATTATGGCAGTAAGTTGTTGATAAGGCTTTGGAGTTAGCTGTCAGTAAGGTTTTTGTTTTCCAAGATTGTGGATCTGACTTCATTCCCTAAAACCCATGTTAAAAACAAAAATGAATAGCTAGTCACAGTTGCTTGTGGAGAGGTGGCGGCAGAAGGTCAGAAGCTCGAAGTTGTCCTCAGCTTTATAGTGAATTCAAGATAAGCCTGGGCTACATGAGGTTCTGTCTCAAAGGAAAAGCAAAACAAAACAACCAACCAAACAAAAATCCCCAGCAACAACAACAAAAACAAAAGTGACTACTTGAGAACTACACTCAAGGTTGATCTCTGGTCTCCACACACGCATCCACCACACACACGCATGCACAATCACACGCACCAAGTCGTGGATACCCTAGTCTTCTGTTGCATCTCTATTATTTTTGATGTGATTATTAACTGCAATGTTTTAGAATTAGTAACATGTAGTAGTAAAAACAAACAAAAATCCAAACTGTTAAAATTTTAAAAGGTGCACAGTAAAAAAGTAACCTCTATCCTCTCCCAGGACCCAGCCCTCTGTACCCAGGCCCCTCCCCCAGTGGCAGCCATGAGTTGCTCTCTTCAGCATCTCCCTGCCTCTCCCCCTCACACCAGATGCCACCCTCTGCCTACAATTGTATAACTTTGTGTGTGACCAAGTGCGTATTCCTGGATACAGAAATGGTTTTCTGTATTTTATACCTACAGTGTCACAATAAATATTAAAATACATATAATATATAATTTATAAAATTCTGGAAATAGAATTGCAATATGAAAAATAATCAGTTTAAAATTTGATGGAAATTTGACGATACCCAGTCAGTCTCCTTGAAGAGATTTTGCATAGCTTGTAATCATATTCAATTACTTGTACTGAGTGAGACTTGTGTCCCACCAGGCTGTGAGCTTGCTTTCTCTTTCTCTCTCCTGGCCAGGCTCCTCCAGCTGAGCCCTCCAGCCCTGGGCCTCTGGAGCCAGAGAAGGGGGAGAGGAGGATCTGGGCCATGCCTCCAATGGCTGTGGCCCTGAAACCTGTGTTGCAACAAAGCCGAGAAGTGAGGGATGATCTGCCTGGAGCATCTTCTGTTCTCTGTAGCGCCTCCCCAGATCTTAGCCTCCTGCTGGGACCCTCTTTCCAGAACCAGAACTCCTTCCAGCCCCTGGAGCCCAAGCCTGATGTGGGTCCACCCACAGGTAACCAAGGCCTGAAGACACTGGTGTTCTCCTTAACACCCTGCTGGTGTCTTACCAGTCATGAGTTGCAGGGAACAGAAACTCATTCTGTGAAGGGAAGAGGACATCACAGAAGTCCATGAGCTTAATGAGACCTGCAGTCAGAAGTGGGTGCCATCACCAACAGTGATGGTGTCACCTCTCTGGGAATACGTTTCTCCTGACTGCCTCGCAAAAGACTACCGCCCCCCCCCTCTCTCTCACTAGTGGTTCTCGTTCCTTATAACTTTGGCTTATTTATAGACTTGACCAGTCATGACTCTGACTCTAGCCTAGGCTCTTGACACTTAATAGTTTCTTAGGTCCAATTTGAATTACCCAAGTGCCAGTACTCATCTGTCCATGAGCTGACTTTGATTGGTGGCCACCCTGGTTAGTGAGCTGTGACTTGGATGAATAGGGTTTGCTTGCAGGTGGAACATGCCAATGTAGTGTGAATTTAGAATGAACAGTGTGCTGAGGTTTGTAGCTTAGTTGTCAAGCTTGCCTTGCTTGTGTGAAGCTCTGGCTTCAAACCTCAGGATTGCAGAAGCGACCCAATGGCCACAGCAGCACTCAGTGGGTGGAGATCAAAGTCAGGAGTTCAAGGTCACCCTCAGGTGCTTTAAAATTATGTTTATTATTTTAGGTGTATAGATGTTTTGCCTACATGTGTATATGTGCACCATGTGCATGCCTAGTGCCTGTGGAGGTCAGAAGAGGGCGTAGGATCCCCTGAATGAACCTGGAGTTAGGTGGCTAGTTAGACTAGCCATCATGCTAATACCGGGAACTGAACCCAGGTCCTATTTAAGAGCAGCAAATGCTCTTAACCACTAACCTATCTCTTCAGCCCCTGCAAAGTGAATTTGAAGCCATCCTGGGATACATGAAACCCTATCAAAAAAAGAAGGAAAGGTGGAGGCAGGAGGGTAAGGGGCTCAAGGCCCATGGCTGGAGCTGTAACTGGTGGAATGCCTGCCTCTTGTACGAGGTGCTAGGTTCTCATCCCTGCTGCCCCAGACGAGGACAGTGCTGGCAAGTACCGTGCAAGCACTGGGGCCTGAGTTCAGACCTCAGCACCCGTGTGAAGGCCAGGGTGGTGCAGGCCATCACTGATTGCCGCAGCCTTTGAGTGGCTGCCTACTGGACTATACCTGGGATGGACTACAATCCCAGAATGGAGGGCACACCTGTGAGAGAGTTTCTGTTTGGTGTGAAGTGGGTGAATCCACTTCTAGTCCAGGCCTTTGAGGTAGGAAGAGAGTGAGACACTGCCTGGCTTGAGCATCTGAGACCTCAAAGGCCAGCCCAGTGACACACATCCTCCAGCAAACCCACACCTCCCAATAGTGCTACTCCCTACGGGCCTATGGGTGCCATTTCCATTCGGCCGCTAGAGGGTTGGGGCCCCTGGGGCTTGTAGCTCCAGGTTCAGTGAGAGACTCTGTCTCAAGGGAGTAGTAAAGCAGATCTACGTTCTTCTCTGACCTCTCTGTCATGTGGGTGCTAAGAATTGAACTCAGGTCCTCTGGAAGAGCAATAACCACTGAGCAATCTCTCCAGCCCCTACTATTCCATTTGATAGTGCTTTTCCTTTGGGCACGTTTGGTAGGTTCATTTCTGGAGAGACTTCTTCCATGTACAGCACACATGCATGCCAAGGCACCTGTCTCGTTTTACAGCTGGACCCTTCTCTGCATTGGAAGCCTTCACTGCTGACCACAGGGCAGAGCGGCCATTTCCTGAGGAAGACCCTGGATCTGATGGTGATGGCTCCCTAAAACCAGGGCTGCCACCTGCTTCTCAGTTCGAAGGCCTTAAGAACTTTTTGCAGCAGGTAAGAACTACCCAGAACTCCATTTTCTTACCTACTGACTCATTTGCTCTAGATTAGGGTCCAGTCCAAACACTGTTCCTGCTGCCTCAGTCTCCCAAGTGCAGGGACCACAGGTTTGTCACTATGCCTGACTGGCTTCTTGCGTATATATGTATGTATGTATGTATGTATGTATGGTATGCCTACACTTGCACTCATGAAGTGTGTGGGCCAGAAGACAGTGTCAGCAGTTTTATTCTAGGGGTTCTAAATCTTTTTATTTTATCTACTTATTTATTTTTGAGACAGTGTCCCTAACTGAAGCTAGAGTTTACTGATTGGCTGCAGTGACTGGCCAGCAAGCCCCCAGGACTAGCCTATCTCCCTCTTCCTTCCTCCCAAGTGCTGAGGTTGCAAAGTTGTTCCACCCTTCGTCATACCTTGCTATTGTTGGTGTTGTTATTTAAGGTAGGGCCTCAGCCCTGCATGGTGGCGCATGCCTTTAATCCCAGGATTTGGGAGGCAGAGGCAAGTGGATCTTTGTGAGTTCAAGGCTAACCTGGTCTACAAAGTAAGTTCTGGGATTGCCAGGGCTATACAGAAACTCTGTCTCAGAAAAACTAGAAAGAAAGAAAGAAAGAAAGAAAGAAAGAAAGAAAGAAAGAAAGAAAGAAAGGAAGAGCCTTACTATGTGACCCTGGCTGGCCTGTGACTTAACTATGTAGACCAGGCCAGCCTCAAACCCACAGAGATCTGCCTGCCTCCCAGTGCTGAGACTAAAGGCGTATGCTAGTTGTGCCTAGCTTTTATGTGGATGTTGGGAATTGAACTCAGGTCCCCATGCTTGCTCAACATGCACTTTAACCACTGAGCCATCTCCCTAGCCCCTTCCTTCCCTTTTTAGGTCCAGTTATTCATCCCAGCTATTAGTTAATCTCATTCTTAGTCCATAATTCCCTCTGGAACTTAGGCCACTGACCCTAGCCGTAGACACCTCTGTTCCCTCAGACCCTAGGTTTCACATCCTGTCTTATTTCCCCAGCTGCTGGAGACAGCACCTCAGAGCAATGAAAACCACTCTGTTGACCTGTTGCCCCCTAAATCAGGTGAGTCCCAACTCTGAAGAAGGTCGGGGGTGGGCCTAGAAGTAGTGGGAATTGGTAATCTAGGATGAAATAGGAGCTTGGAGGTAGGACTTGACTCTGCTCCAGTAACTACCAAAGAGTTTTACCTATATATAAAACAAATCTGAATTAGAAACAAGGTCTCAATAGTTCTCTGTATGATTTTTTGTGACATGATCTCATTCTGTAGTCCAGATTGGCCTCACATTTGCTGTGTAAATCAGGATGAACTCACAGCATTAGCTTCACCTAGTCCCCCCAAATACAGGGTTAACAGGAGTGAGTCTCAGTGCCTGGCTTGTTGGATTCTATTTCTAAATTAATTTATATTTTCCCTGGTAGTGTTAGAAACAGTTCTGGTACTTTGCAGTTTATTAGTAACAGCTAAATTAATACAGTTAAATTTAAAAGTATTTAAGTGTCCAGATAATTATGCTGTAGTACATTGTGACCATTGGAGTCCATACTACCCATGACATAGTAAAATTTTATTGGGGGAAAGGATTGTCACTTTCTTTCAGAGACAGGATCTCACTAGTCAGAGGTGTCTGTAGACTCTGATGCCTGCCTTTACTTCTCAGGCACAGAGAGTGCATGCCCAGTTTTATTGTCTGGGACTGAGCTCAGCGCCTCTGAGCCACTCTGTGAGCTGAGCTACGCCCAGCCTTGTTGGGGTTTTTGCTTATCCCATGTTTGCTCTTATCTCTCTTTCCTGCTGGTAGGTCCTCGGACTGTCTCATCTTGGGAGGAAGCTCCTCAAGTGCCACGCCTTCCCCCTCCTGTCCATAAAACTAAAGTTCCCCTAGCCATGGCATCTAGTCTCTTCAGGGCCCATGAGTTTCCCTCATCCCATTTGCAAGTCAGTGGTCTCAGCACTGGCTCCCCAGAGAGAGGTAAGCAGGCCAGGGTTTGCCAGGAAAAGAAAAGGGAATGCTTCCGCCCATTTCCTGCGGTCTGGTCCTTTCCATTTCTAGGGAAATGGGATGAAGGCTGGGAGAGGAGCCCTTGGGTAATGAGTCCACTTGTCTGAAAGGTGCGGATGGGCTCAGCTCCCCAAGGCAGCTGATGGAGGTATCTGAGCTGTTACGACTGTACCAGGCTCGGGGTTGGGGCGCTCTGCCTGCTGAGGACCTGCTACTCTACCTGAAGAGGCTGGAACATGGCGGGTATGAGCCTGGGAGGGAGGAAGAGCTCCAAGGGAGGCATTTGGATTAGGAGGTGACCAGGCCCAGTGTATCCACTGAGTGCATGCTTTTGTCCTTTTCTAGGGATGGGGAGGGATGAGGATGACAGGTACATTCACACTTTTCCCTCTCTTTGCTTCCATTTCTGCTGATTTCTGTATCTGTACCCAGTTTTCTTTCCTGTCCACCCAGAAGCTCAAATTCAGAATGCCAGGAACTCTGTCTACTTAGTGCAGGGCTTCTAAAACTTTTCACTTGCAGCCCTTTTTACCTGATGACTTAAGAAAAACAAAAACAAATCAAACATTTGCTCATAGCAAATCGTAAAGAAATTTGCTTTTTTATTATTATATATTTTTGAGACAGGGCCTCACTCTGCAGCCCTAGCTACTCTGGAACTCACTTTATAGGTAGGTGAGGCTGGCATCAAACTCAGATAGCTACCTGCCTCTGCCTTCTAAGTGTTGGGATTAAAGGGACGTGTGTGAGCATGCCTGCCTTGACTTTTTAAAAAGTGAAACTTGAAGTGATCGACTGAGACAACAATTTTTCAAATCAAACATGTGCATACAACCCAGAGATATGCTAATTTGATACCTGATGAGGGATGACAGGATTGGAGAGAGAGCTCAAAATACCAGGAAGAGCTCAGTGTGACCCCAGAACTCAGAAAAGCTGGATGTGGCAGCATACACTTGTAACACCCTGGGGCTCACTGGCCTGTGGCCAGCTTAGCCAAAACGTTCAGCCCAGGCCAGTAAAAGATGCTGTCTCAAAAACTAAGGTAGCCAAGTATGGTGGCGCATGCCTTTAATCCCAGCACGTGGATTGCTGAGGCAGGTGGATCTCTGTGAGTTCGAGGCCAGGCACACAGTGAAACCCTTTTTCAAAAAGACAAAAAAGATTAAGGTGGGCAGCTCCTGAGGAGCAACTCTGGAGACCGTCCAGTCTCTAGGCTCCGTGTGCATCTGGACACACGTACAGAAACAGTCCTTGTTTTCTGCAACTAAACCGTTGTTCCCATGAGAGCAGAAAACTTCGTATGTCCACTAGGAACACTGTCATTGACAGTGTGCAGCAGGACGGAGCCGGAGCCCAGATGTCCCAGGCAGGCGCAGAGTAAAGAGGCCTGCTGTGTGTTCAGAACCAGGGCTGCAGTGAAGTCTCACAATGCAATGCCATCCAGAAACGCCTGGAACTCATGTTGGGCTTGATTTTTAATTAATGTTTGGTTGTGCCTTATTCCGAAACTTTTTCTGTTTTCCAATTTTTTGCCTCCATATTTCATCACACCAGTTTTAGAAGCTTGGGTCTGGAGTAGCTCGTTAGGTCCCAGTAAGTCTCCTCCAGCAGTCTGCCCTTCCATCCCATTCTCAGGGCTCTCTCTGGGAGATGGAGATTGAGCTGAGGCCTTGAGTTTGCAGGATAAGTGCTCTCCCCACTGAGCGGTCCAGTTTCTGTGCAGAGCTGTGTGGATTGGGGGCTCCCTGCCCGTCTTCACTCACACCCCTGATCTGTATGGCAGGACTGATGGTCAAGGGGAGCTTGTCCCCAGAAGAAACACAGACTCCCGCTTGGGTGAGATCCCCCGGAAAGAGGTGAGGAAAGTGAGCAGGGACCAGGGGAGCAGGGCTTTGACTGACTGACTGGTCCCCTCAGTGCTCGCCCTTCCTGGCTTCTCCACCACTCACACCACACGCACATGCGCTTCCTTCCCCTGAGCTCACTGGTTTGGGCCTTTCACACCATGCCCTTCCTGTGTGTGTGGCGGGAGATTGGCGGTGGGGTGAGGGGGTGAGGGTATATAATGATGACTTTGCTTCTTTCCCCTCACTTCTCAGATCCCATCCCAGGCTGTCCCTCGGCGCCTTGCTTCAGCCCCTAAGACTGAGAAGCCTGCACGGAGGAAAAGTGGGCACCCTGCCCCTGGCAGCGTGAGGAGTAGGGGAGGTGTCTGGAGATGAGACCCCACTCTCTCCTCTGCCTTGTTCTGCTCCCCCTTTCGCCGTTCATTTTAGTAAATGCCCTGTAGTCTCCGTCTGTATCAGAGGAACTAGGAAAATGGAGAATTTGTAGGAAGCTACTTTGTAAAGAAACTGAGTATTTTTAAGGAATGTATTTATTATTTCCTGTTAGGAACTATATGGAATCTACTGGTGTGTGACTACAGTATGAGTGCTGAGGCTCTGTGTGCCTGCAGAGGTCAGTAGTGGAATTATGAGTGACTTCTTTTTTTAAACATTTTGTTTTTTCTAAAATAAATATGTATGTATTACTTTAGTGATCAAAACTTCCAAACTTTTAATAAAAGTAAATTATTGTATAAAATGTCTGAGAAAAACTTTTGATGCTGGGGAGAAAGTTTTGTCTTTTAAAGCATTTTAGATTGCTTTTATGTGAAATTTTATTATTTTTTTTTTCCATTTTAGAGACCAAGTACGCTTGTATCTACAAATTATAGCCCCCTGCTGCATACATGTTAGGTTACAAGAGTGTACCAACATACCTGGCACTTCCGCTTTCTAAGATCAGAGGATTCTTTTTGACAGTGGGGGTTCAGACTGACAGGCCCTGCCCAGTCAATAGACATGCTGGGCTATAAACCGTGCATCTCTAAAACATATAAATAAGCTGGACAGTGGTGGCACACACCTTTAATCCCAGAACTCTGAAGGCAGGGGCCAGGAGTATCTCTGAGTTCAAGACCAGCGTGGTCTGCATAGTGAGTTTCAGGACAGCCAGGGTTATACAAAGAAATCCTGCCTTGAAAGAGCTTCAAAAAATAAATAAAGCATGTAGATAAGTTCTGGCAAGAAAGTAACAGCCGTTTCCAAAACCTTCCATTCTCATGCTCACCAAATGTAAAATGATACCTGGTCAAGGTGTCTTGTGCCTGTAATTGTAACATTTCAGGAGGTTTTCACAGGAGGATTGCCACAAGTTTGAATCCAACCTAGGCTACCTAGTTCCAGGCCAGCCTAGACTACTGAATAAGACTCATTTCAAAAACTAAGAGAATGAAACTTATCAGTTGAGGCCCAGCTTTCAGGAGGAGGCCCAGAATTTCAGTTAAACAGAGTGGAGAGCATTTTATAGTTTGAGTCAGACTGAGAAGGTGCCCTGAGGCCCACAGGCAGCACCCTGCTCTGGAGCCAGCCGCTCAGAGGGTCCTTCCTCACTCGAGGAGCAGTGCTGGCTTCCAAGGAGGCTCCTCTGACCCTGAGTATTTGCTGACTAGCCTCTAGGATGCCAGGTCTTCAGCTTGGCTCAGGGTTTCTGGTGTGAGGCAAATGGCTACAGGGTGGCACTAGGCTTGGAGGCTTCTCTTAATCCCCACCTTTGGGAATGTTTGCATTTTTATTTCAAGTGCCATCAGTTAGTTTGACCAAACTGATCTGTGGTACATTGTCATCATCGGTAAGAGTTAGTTATTGGCAAAATGAACATTGAGTTCGTATTTCACTCTCTCCAGACTCCAGCCTGCCTCCATCAGCCTACATGCCCCACATTTTCCCTGAAGCTCAGGCTGGGGCTATGTCCCTAAAAGAGCTCTCAGTGAGGAAAGGGCACAGTGCTAACTTAACCATTTTGGGCAGCCATCATAACAGGACAGCTTTGACTTACATCTACTTAGTCACTGGGGAATCAAGGCCAACTCCTACCCAACACCTTCATGGTTATCTTGGGAAAATTCTGAGAAGAAGAACAGACCCAAAAAAAAAAAAAAAAAAAAACCTGAAAGAAAGAGTTCGGTGTGGATGGGGTGTTGAGCTTGCTTGCTAAAGGATTTTCATCTGAGAACTTTCAGAGGCATGTGGGGGAAGGGGTTGGGCACTCAGGTGGGCTCCACCAGGGTAGGGTGGTAGCTAGATTTCGGTGACAAACCAGGGCCTTTCAGACCCTTTCTTCTTCGTGATGGCCCAAAGCTGGGGTCTCACTGCATGTGCAGCTTTTGCTGTGTGTAACAATGATGAGGAAAAGTGGGTCTGGATAGATAGATAGCCTAGCAGTCTGCCTTACAGAAGACTTTGAAACTGAAAACTAACCCATGGGAGGCAGAGGCAGGAGGAGCTCTGAATTAGAACTGGCCAGCTTGCTCCACAGAGTAAGTTCCAGGTCAGCCAGGGCTACACGGTGAGATTTGTCACAATAAATAAATAAAATAAAAGGAAGTTGGAAACTATTCACCAGGAAGATGACCCATGCCAATAATTAGTAGAGGTCGATTGTGAGATGATGAGGAAAGCACTTTAGGCACACAGATCAGACTGATCCAAGTGCAGAACTGAACTAGTCTTTCAAAAATTAATGTCTGATGAGGAGGTTCTGTGTCCTGGCTGGTCCTGCTGCCCTTCAGCCCCAAACGAATACACAGAGACATATTAATTATAAACTGTTGGCAGGTAGCTTGGGCTCCTATTTGGCTAGCTCTGTCTTAATTATTAACCATTTCTATTAATTTATGTGTTTCCACATGGTCTTGGCTAACCAGAGAACGCCTGGCCCACCCTCTCTTCCCAGGCTCTATATGATGACTCCGCCTGCCTACATTTCCCAGAATTCTCATTTCCTAGTGCTGCTATATATTTCCTGCCTGGCCAATCAGCCAGTCAGTGTTTTACTCATCAACCAATAAGAGAAACATGTATACAGAAGGGCATCTCCCATCAAATATTGGAAAGAACGTCTCTGAGAAGAGAAAGATAGTATTTAAAAGAAGCAGGCATATAAACAAGAGCGAAGGGATGAACTCAGGGCTGGAGAAGCAGCTCAGTGCTTAACAGCACTTGCTGCTCTTGCAGAAGACCCAGGCTTGGTTCTGAGAAGCTCACAACCAACTATAACTCCAGAGATGCCCAGTTCTGGAATCCCCCAATGCATGTGATGCTTATACATACACTCAGGCACCCGCATGCACGCACGCACACACACACACACACACACACACACACACACACACACACACACAAATATACATACAGTTGATTACAGTTACCCATCTCTTTAATTCTAGCACATTGGAGGCACAGGCAAGCAGATCTTTGTGAGTTCAGGGTCAGCCTGTTCTACATGGTGAGTGCTAGGACAGCTAGCCAGGTCTAACAGTGAAACCCTGACTCAGAGAGAGAGGAGAGAGGGCAGTGGGGGGGGGGGGGCTGAAGAGACAGCTCAATGGTTAAGCTGCTCTTGTGAGGACCTGGGTTCAATTCCCAGCACCTACATGGTGGCTCACAGCTGTCACATCCCAAGGGATCTGATGCTGTCTTGGCTTCTTGGGGAATCAGGACAGAACATGGTATGTATACTCATGTAGCAAGCACACAGACACATTAATCTTTTAAAAAGCAGTGCAGCATCCTCTAAGAGCAAGGCTACCCTCCCTTACTAGCCTCCGTTAACTCTGGAGTCAATCCTAGTGGTACAGGATCAGGAAAGAGAAAGCCAGTGTTTACAGATTAAGCAGTCATATTCCTGATATACTAGCTTAAATGAGTATCAAAGATATACTTAAAATATATGATATATTTTCACTTAATGACACCAAATTGACACATGTATTTCAAATGTTGATACTATCTTAAATAACATGTTAAGATGTATAGTAAATTGTTCAATTTTTAAATTTCGATACAAAGGGCTTAGTGTAACTGTAACAAAAGATATTTAAAGTAGGGGCTGGTGAGATGGCTCAGCAGTCAAGAGCTCTTACAGAGGACCAGGGTTCAATTCCCAGAACTAACATGGTGGCTCGCAAGTGTCAGTAACTCCAGTTCCAGGGAACCCGGTTCCCTCTTCTGGCCTCCATAGGCACCAGGCAAACACATAGTACACAGACATACATGCAGACAAAAAAAAAAAAAAAAAAAAAAAAAAAAAAAAAACCACTGAAACAAAAATACATAAAAATATTTTAAAGGAGAAATATCAGCAGGCATTTTTTTTTTTTTTAAAGAGCAAACCAAACGGGCCCGTTTCCACTGGGAGGGTGCTCAGCCCCAGGGGAAGGTGGGCACTATAAATAAAATCAGTTTTAGCTATTCTTTTGTCCCATAAGACAGACAACATTTTAAAGGTCTGAATGCATTGTCACTGAGATATGGGACAGCAGAAGCTGTTCTGAGGGTTTGGATCCAGGAGGGACAAATGGAGCATTTTGTCAGTGCCTGAAGTCATGATGCACACTCTATGACTCAATGAAGCATCCTTTGGGACACGCCCTAAGAAAACTGCTCTGCACCAGGAGACAAGTCCATGGACGCCACAGGGGAAAAGAAAAAGAAAAAGAAAAAGAAAAAAGATGCACGTGATCGAATGCCCTTCCGCTGAGGCGGTTTCACACCCGGAAGTACCACACAGATGGGCGGGCGAGCTGTAGTCACAGGCATCTGTCCTGTAACTACATAAACGTGGTGCTCAGGGAAGATGCAGATTGCAGGAGGAAATGGGCAACACGTACTGCTCACAGAACGTTAAAATCAGTGCAGGGCAGCCCCTCCAGCGTGTGTTATTAGAGGCAGAGCCCAGCAAGAAGGAACCCACCCAGGGGCTCGCCTGGTTCAGGGCGTTGGAGGTGAGGTGTGAGTCAGTCTGTCAAAATGGACTGACAAGGGAGTCAGCACATGGGCAGGGTGAGACAGGGCAGCTACAGGAAGGAGCATGTGGTGAAAACTGCTACCTTTTGCTAGGTGTGTGTGTGGGGGGGGGGTGAGGTTACCAAATAAAGGGAGCCAAGTTTGTGGAAAAGGGAAAATGAGCCAGTTCTGCTACTGCAGTAGGTTGGATGCCTCGTGGATTCAGTATGTATCCATAACATGGAAGCACACGTGAATGCAAGCCGTGTGTAAGTCTGTCTATGTTTTCTAGCAATACCATTACTTTCCCAAGACTTCCATAACCAGTGACCACAAGCGGGGTGGCTTTTGTGTTTTCCTGCTCTGGAGGGTAAAGAGCTGAGCTCAAGGTGGGGAAGGGCCATGCTCTCTGGAGGC